GTACAACCCTGCCGAGAGCAGAGATGGCGCCGATAAAAATGGTTACATAACACCTCAAACACAAAAAGAAAAAAGTGGGGTGGTGTGGCCGGCCAGCTGCATATGCTATACTACGACCGATCGGTTCAACTCTTAGGCCATCTCAATTAGCCGTGGAGGAGGATGAGCCTCCTGTGCCGCCACTGGGGGCACCGGGCCCCGGGCCCCGGGTTGCTCATTGCGGGCGTCTGGCGCCGGCCATCATTGCACTCCGCTGCTGGGTGCAGACTCCTGAATTTAGCGCACAGGTGCATGTATCGGCACCACAGGAAGCTATATCGTGAGCCCCGGGAGAGTTGAAGAGCTGACATATCTCTGTCTACGACGGGCGGCTGTTCGAGCCGGATCCCCGTGGAGCGTTCCGTGCCAATGCCCCCATGTCAGCCGGCGCATGCTGGCATTCTGGTGACAATATATGCAAAAGGTTATCTGTTTCGCCCGCCCCGCAAACACCTCATTCTACAGCGCTGTGTCGATGATTACCCAGTTGAGGGAGCCGCGGTTGGCTGCTTGGTGGCGGAAAGCCGGTGGAAACTTTCAATGGTTGTTCCAATTCCAAAATCTACCAACCAAGTAATTACCGGCCTATATCACTGCTAATGTATACTTGGTAAACTTTTGGAAAAGCATATGTATAACGTGATTCAAGAGCACCTTGTCCATTACAACTTCGAATTATCTACTAGGCAGTGGGGTTTTCGTTCCAACCGTTCAGCCGTCTCTGCCTTGTTATCAGTGACCCATGATTGGCATGCTACTCTTGAAAGAGGTCAGGAAGTATGTGCTATTTTCTTTGACTATCAGAAAGCGTTTGACAGTGTTCCCCACTGACCTCTTCTCTCAAAATTAGAATATCTACAGTTGAACAGTGTTTTCCTGAGATGGCTTACTGACTATCTGACTGAATGGTGTCAGTTTGTGGTTGTAAATGGGGCTAAGTCAACACTATTGCCTGTTCTTTCTGGTGTGCCTCAGGGATCAATTCTGGGACCCCTGCTTTTCCTGATTTATATTTATGACCTGTCACGTACTACTTTTTCTGGATCTCCAAGACTGCACATGTTTGCAGATGATGTGCTACTTTACCAAGTCATTGACTTCCCTGAGGACTTTGTGTCAGAATATCACCTATGTTTATAATTGGTCAAGGCAAAATGCCCTTACACTGAATGACAATAAATTGATGATATCAAGGAAAAAGTTTCTTTCAAACCCTCATCTCCTCTACATCTGGGAGGTCAATTACTGGAGTGTGTTAGCTCCTACAAGTACCTAGGAGTACACATATCTTCTGACTTATCGTGGAATCAGCGCACTCAGCATGTCTGTATGAAGGCCAAGAAGATTCTTTATCGGAACTATTACCAACATCTTCCAGACACAATGCTCTACAAGTCACTGGTTCGACCTCACCTGGAATATGCTGCTGCAATTTGGTCTCCTTCCTCACAGAGTGATAAATTACTTTTAGAAAAGGTCCAAAAATTTGCTCTGCGAATGGTTACAAAGTGTTGGGATCTAAGTTATGTTGATCTGCTGGATAAGACTGGTGTTCTGTCTCTTGAGAAACGTAGAGAGGTGGCTAGACTTTGTCTCCTGTACAAAATTGTGAACAGCTTGTGTTTTTTTTGACCTTGATGTTTTTTTCTTATTGCACCTCCCGTTCCTATCATTCTCATCCTTTTTCTCTACACCATTCTTTCTCCCGTACTAACTCCATGTACCACTCGCTTGTTCCTGCAACTATTAGGCTGTGGAACAGTCTTGATAGTACTCTACGTTCTGAGTCCTCTTTTTCTCTGTTCAAACGTCATCTTCTTTATTTTTATTCTCATAGGAATCATGTCTCGTATTAGCAATTGAGTGCTACTTACATGTATTCCTTGCTTCTGTGCTAAACTATTTATTAAAAGGTATTAGACCATGTGATGGCAAGAGAAAAAAGATCTGGAGCTCTGGACAGCTGTTTCGGGCTTGTTGGCCCTCATTAGCAGAGCATACTGTAACTTCTCTCTCTGGCATTACGAGTTTATAAAGGCTATATACCAGGAGCACAGCACTTGTGGTTATGAACTAATGAGATTCATCCCCACAAGGCTTTACCACTGGTATGTGCTGGCCATCCCATGCATTCGTGGTTTGGAGCCTAGGCCCCTCCCCACTCCTGCTGGTCAAGGCCAGTACTGAGCCAAAACTCGAACTTGCAATCGTGGCATGCGGATTGGGCCGCGGCAATGAAGCCAGCAAGCACCCATATCCTGCCAGTGCATTCACATGAAGGTCCATGTCATTGAGGCTGAGCTCTCAAACATCCTGCTCGCTTTTGTTATCGTTCTTAGATAGGCGAACAAGTGCAGTGCCTTACCGGGATATACATTGGTTAATATGACCGTTATTGTGGCGAAGCATTCAGTCCGAATGTTTATATCCGTGACCAGACTGTGCCTCTGGCACTTGGCGGGATAGCAAGAGCCCTCCATCTCAAATTGCCATGTTTCGGGCAGGAGCTCCCAAATTTCAATGTATTCCTTCCCCACGATCTTTTTACCAACTTCGGGGGGACCGAGCCGAAGCCCGCGGGAGGTCTGCTGGTGAGAGTGGGGCCACGCCAGATGTTGACGGATGCGGTCACTGCTGCCAGCCACGGTATTGCTGGAGCCGGGGCAGGTGGTGCTCGAGGTAGCCCCACTGCCGGTGGAAGCCACCGAAAACGTTGGGAGAGATCCTGCGGCAGAGCATAAGGGGAAAGCATCAACAACACACACGACCCAAGGGGCATGATCGCCCGCGACAACCGGTAAGTGGTCGGTGGCACCCCGGGCCGCGGTGGGCCGTGGGTGCCTAACTGTCCGGGTACCTCTGGCCCCGGTGGACCGTGGGTAACCGGAAAAGAGCTACGGGAAAGAAAGGCCGGCTTACCCGAATCCGAGGGGAACGAAGCCGATGGTGAGGAAGAAGACAATGATGGTGATAGGAGACGAAGGGAAGAAATAGAAAAGAAAAACGAGCACGCAAGAGAGGAGGTTCCACCCGGCGACCAGCAAACCAGCAGAATGTCCCGACCACGTGCTCTTTCACCAAGGCACATGCGTGCATCGAGGCCGGCTCAAACACATTTATGCACGTTTTTACCTTTGGTACTGTCCCAGCATCACTTCTCTTTCGATCTGGATCTGCAACAAGTGTCTCTGCTAGGTGTAAGGCAACAAACTCGCGAGTAATCACGCGAAGCGTCTTCCTGCCGAGGGGTCCGACATGGGTTGAAATCTCGTACGCTTATGGTCATAAATCATGGGGAATCAGCGAAAAGTGGAAATCAAAAATAAAGTTGCCGTGCGTGTGCTGCTTTTCTGCTCCGTATAGCTCCGTTCACTTTCGAACTTCGAAAATGCCAGGATACCAACCAGAGAGGCATGAGAAATAGGAGTGAATGATATATATACTTCCCTTGGGACTCCTACCACCTAGCCGGCCAACCACAACTCACGTGATTGAACGGAGGCTTCTTGAGAAGAGTGTATCTGAGAACAAGAATGACCACACCACTGACAGTTTTACAGGCACAAACGTCAGTAGCCGGCTATAATTTGCTCAATGGATTTCTCATATGCCCCGGCGACAGTATTATGGGCCGCAGTGTTCTGTGGCACTTGACTACCGTTCGTGCCAGTAAGGGAACTCCTATTTACGGAATTACATTTGTGGAACCCTCGAGAGACTGAGAAATCAATAGAAATCCATGGAAATCTGGAAACCACTGAAATGGAAATCAGTAAAAATCACGCGGAAATCTGGAAATCTCTAAAATCTGAGAAATCACGTGGAAATCTGGAAATCGGTACAACGCGTTTCAACTGTTATGTTGACTATCTGAATGAAGCAAGTCTGCTTCTTTTCATGAAAAAGCATGTTTATAGCATACTAGCTAAAAGAATAATATGAGAGGAAAAGAAAGAACCCTTAAACCACCCCACCCAAATTTATAGACTCATAGAAAAATATAAAAACTCTGAAACTTACAGTACGACGATGCAACTTAGATTTTTAAAACAACGTGTGATTACTCTAAATAACGCACAACATATACACGTGTAAGAAAACATATAAAAATAGAAATGTCAGACAACAACATATAAACAGAAATAGAGAGGCAGGACCCTGGGTGCCCAGCCTTGAAAACCGGGGCGGTAGGTTAAAGAGTCTTTTATGGGCCCAACTCTCCCTACACACCCAGTGTCCCAACCTCCCGTTACACATAGTTAGAGAACAAATAGATAGAGATCACATACAAATGAACGGCAACCACAGTATAAAATCAACAGCCAGTAGAAAAATAGAAAGCCTCAAAGGACTCATAGAAAAATATAAAAACTCTGAAACTTACGCAGTGCAACGATGCAACCCAGATAGAAAAAACGTGCGATTACTCTAAATAACGCACATCATATACACGTGTAAGAAAAAAAGAAAAATAGTAATGTTAAAAAATACAAATGTTAAAAATAGATTTTCCAAAATAAATATGTCACTAAAAAGGCGACTGAGGAACCTGCATGTTACTGTGCCAGAAAATAGAACAGGATATGCAGGAAATTTTGGGCTTAGAAAAGGTATTAACACAAAGATTCAAAATCAGAAAATGGTATAATTCAACCCTGAAGTATCTGAATATGGTAATGCGGTAATTTACCCCCTTAAGTTGCCAAATACCCTACATTGTAGCGTGTATACTTAAGGTGCACATAATAATTATAACCAGGGTCTAAGGTATAGGAATCAACTGTTGTGTACTGATTTTTGGCTTGATATAGCTGGTGAAATGATGTACTCATGTTCATATCTGTTTATTTATGCACCATTGATGGGCACTTTTCATGCATATTGTTTGACTGTGTTTACCATACTTTGTGGCTATAATGTGCAGTTATGCAGTTGAGAATTTAGTTTTTATCTTTTCAAAGGTGGACTAGGAAAATGTGGAAAATTGCAGAAGATCAGAGGATGGGAGAATGAGACTTCTGTAAGAAATTCCTTGCCTTTTACTTAAGTATTGTGTCAATAGCAGTTTTTAAAGATTAGCGAATTGCGTCAGCAATTGTTTTCAGTAGCACAGCTAAAATGCCTGTGATTTATGCTGAATTATGAAATTTTTAGGCGTTGTCTGAAGCTCTTTAGCATTATTTGTCAATCAATCCGATAAAAGCATTGTGTAACTTCACCGGGAGGTAACAGTTCTCTGCCATTGTGTCCAGTAGCTTTCTTGTTTCTTTCTTTCTTGATTTATGCGCAAGAATGTTACAGCCTGTATTTATGATATCAACACCTATGCAATTCAGGCCAATCAAGCATAATGTTCATGGACAAGTAGAGGTTATGAATAGTGGATGCCTTATGCATGCGTATGTCTCTTGGGAATAAGGAAACAACATAAGCCATAAAGTTGAAATTGTACGTACTTACAAATGTTTGCATTCACTCTTATTTTAGTTGATGTTCTGACATTTGCTAAGGTATATGTGCTACATTTTTTTTCTGAACACAGCTACGCAGTCTGTTTGCAAAACTCTGAATATTTCTCCTAGATGGCATTAAGTATCATGAAAAAGGACCCCACTAGAGTTTGTTTGTGCGCGTTATTCCTCAGGATTCTTCATACTAACTGTGTTTATTAGCACTAGGCTTAAGTACCTGGGCAACAATAGTCGCGGAGTGAGTTTGGCCCCTAGAAGTATACTGTAACCATAGTTCTGAGTTGTATTCATGTTTTTTTTAGAGATCTATAGCTGAGGTGGAGTGGGCCGAAACTGGAAAGTGCAATGTTTATCGTGTGGGTCATAAAGGAAAGGTTTGTGTTTTCTCAATCTTGTTTGACTTTGAACTTTGATTTTGATCCGTGCATCAAATGCAGGTGAGGGAGTCTACGTAGGTCCCAAATAGATCGTAGCTGTAGTATCCAAACCTCTATTGCAGTATGTTGCATATGCGGCACGCCTACCAGAAATAGCAGATTACAGATGCCCATGACATTGAGATCTAGGACCAAGAAATTGGTTAGTAGTTTCCGGACTCTCTTTTCCACGTTATTGGTCTGTGCACGAGACCAGATTATCACTATGGTTCGCTTTAACTTCATGTCATAGGTTTAGACAAAATAAGTGCCGTACTGTGTAAGTTTCAGAGTTTTTATATTTTTCTATGAGTCTATTAATTTGGGAGGGGTGGTTTAAGGGTTCTTTCTTTTCCTCTCTTATTATTCTTTTAGCTAGTATGCTATAAACATGTTTTTTCATGTATCTTTCAATTTTCAGACCTGTGCTTGGTGGTTTAATTACCCCGGCAGGCTGTATTATGTTGAATTCCCGAATCAGGCATATTTTATGTTTTAGCTATCACTACCTTCTTTTGGATTTGCGGAACCAGGATGTGCGGGGACGCAGTAGTGCTAGTGTCGGACCATAGCCGTGGCCCCATGCTTCTGGTCTGTGTGATCCTATCTCTTTCTCATATCTCCCATTTTTCCCCTTTCTGTCAGATTTAGCATATTGGTGTTCGCGTCATTCAGTAGGGGGCAACCACCAGCCCAGCGTACCAAGGTGGTGGACAATGACCAGTGTCCTTTAAAGTCAGGTCAAACCCGTTTGTCTGTCCCAGTGTGTGCTAATGATGCTACATCCCCAAATCCTACAACTCAAGGAAGGGCTGTGGCTGATGTCCATGCACATATTACTTGTGGTTGTGTAGTAAGTGCTTGTGGTTCTGTACGTTGTAAAACATGTAAACATATTTCTCAATGTGACTATGGAGGGATCAGCGACAGTACATCTATGACCTGCACCTCAGATAATGTTGTGTATTTAATAAATGTGGCATTCAATATGTGGGTGAGACAACTCAGAAGCTTATAGATCGGTAAACAGCCACAGAAGAAGCCTGAAGAGGTTGACGAACCTATATTTATACCATCATTTTAGTTCTGACGCTTACTCTAGATATGATATTTGCATTATGCCCATTGAAGAAATACCATCTAGTGATAGCGGTAATGTAACGTCAATACAACTGGAAAGGGAAGACTATTGGTGTAGGGAACTGTGTACCTACTATCCGTATGGGCTAAATGACAACGTTAGAGGTGTGGGTAATAAAACAGCCTGGATTGGTAGTGAACGCAATATTTAATAGAAGGTATAGGAAGAGAAAGGACCGTAGACAGAGAAAGAGGCTCAATTGAAATGATCTAACTTCTAGTCTTGAGAATTGTTTACATAGTTATAAGATTAGGAGTTTAGTCCTTAGCTTACGATGGGAGTACTATAGAATGTTTTTCAATGTTGGAGGCAGACACATGATGTACCTGATCGCATTGCTGTTTTATTGAAGGATGAAATGCATCAGGATATATGAGCGTTCTCTATCATAACAAGGGTATTGACATGGTCAAATCTCCCTACAGTATTGAAAAGCAAGTATGTTAGAGATGCAGTGCCTAACATTGCAACACCTCCCATAGTGAGCTTTGAATACACTAAAACTATTGCTGGAAATATTTTCAATCAGAAGAATGTAGTTGAGGGCCTAGATGTTGATATAGGTACTAGAGATACGTATGTGTTGTGATTTTAATACGAGTAAATACTGTTGGACATACTGGAGGCCTGAATATCGTAAGGGATGCAAAACTTCGAAGCTTAATAGAGAAAGGACCATCGTATAGACAACAAAACTATATTGATTGGGGCATTAGTGAAAAATTATGTAAGGAGGCAGTATAAGTGTAAATGGTCGCCTAGAGAAAGAATAGACATAAGAGCATTAAATGAGTGGGAGTGTAAGGTAAATGAATGTGTTCAGAAAAGAATTGCCTCACTGAAGAGAAATAGGAGAAAAATGCATATCCTGTCGCCTCGTCGTTCGCGGAAGTCTTGATTGACTTGTGAGTGTGCTAGCAGCCTGTAGCGAGAAATACAAATTGAAAAAGTAATGATGGCTGCGTGCGTTGTCTATAGGGATCCACCCAAATGAAGAATAGAATACATTCAAGGTCTCTGGAGGAGCTTCATAATTAGTATGTGTTAGTACCGGCTGATAAGGCAGCACAAAATGTGATTATAGTTTATAAGAAGTATTATTTGAAGTTGTATTAAAAGAAAGCGACACAACTATCACATCACATGTTATGGAGGAATGTCAAGGCATTGTTGATAGACATATTAAATATTTGAATAACAACCGCGTTGATGTACGACCTGAATATAGATGCTTTGCCTTTGTTTTATTGGCTTCCAAAGCTTCATAAACGGCCTCCTCATACACCAAAAAAGCACATTTTTGATGACCATCCTTAAACTTTTCCATTATTGCTTGGTGCTGGTCAGTTTCCAGACCTCCTTTTCCACGTTATTGGTCTGTGCACGAGACCAGTTTATCACTATGGTTCACTTTAAACTTCATGTCATAGGTTTAGACAAAATAAGTGTTGATGGTTATGAGGAGAAACAACAGCCCTTAAACATGCAGTTGAACCACGTGGACAACCAAGTGCACACCTACGTCAAAGCATGGAAATTCAATGCCAGAAGTACATTGACTGCCTCATGGTTATCCTCATATACCAAAAACCACATTATTGATGACCATACTTATACTTTTCTTGGTGTTGACTAACCTTTTTCCGTTCAGGTCCGCACTTCTAACTATGCGTATTTTAAGAGAACACTCAGAAGATTATCCTTCTCCTTTAACCATGGATCTTTAATATGGCATTGGTGTCAAAACTGTCGTCGTTCCTTTCTTGCAGTGTGACACAAAGTGTAGTTTTTAAGTTCATCCACTGGTTACGTGCATATGTATTGTGAAAATGTGTATCCTGGACTTCCTTGATACACTGACAAAGTACCTGGTAACAGGAGTAGAGTGGCGTATACATGTTTTCTAGGGCCAGGTATTTACTTTCAACCCTTGCAGTCATGTAATATGCAATGGCTTCTCAACTGACCCTCCCACACCAAACCAATCTTATCTCTATATTCTGAAGCAAGATTCCTCATGTTTAGAGATTTAGAGAAGCAGAATTAATTTTGTGTCCCTACTTTACTGCATTTAACAATTATGGAACTCTTGCCTCACATCTTTGGTCAGTCTCTCTACAGTGTTCGAGTTCCTGCTTAATCTTTTGCAAGACTGCCCCTGTGCTTAGCATATCAAGTAGAACGAATTTTAAAAGTGTGCAATTAGGGTAATTGCTCAATCTATCTGCCAATCAATGTAATAGTGACTCAGCTGTTTCATGATGAAATGAAATTGATGAAGGCTGTGTTGAGCTGCATATGGTGTATTTCTATTTGCAACAAAAACGTTCATCACTTTTCTAGGTATTTTTTATCTGATCTCAACCCTAGTTATTAACTACGCTGATCGAATCCATGCAGGTTCTTTCATTAGGCTAGTAGAGTGCTTCCTGCCTCAATGAATGATCACATTTGAGTAGAAGATGAAGAAAGTTACTTTTAAATGCCTTCATAGATTGAGAAGGAGAAGATATTCAACAACTGTTTTTGAACAACACTGACGTACGTATGTGTCTTGTGTTGCCTGCCAGCCATTTGTTTGGATTTGAACGGTGGTCATGCTCTTGCATACATTGTGGTCCAAAGAACATCATATGACATTCATTCAGGAGTAGGCTACCTCTGCAGGTGCTCTGCCCGGTATCAGTGTAGTTTTTGTGTCGGTCCGTTGAGCCCCATGATTTGGCCTGTTATGTACAGAGGGGACGAGCTAGTCATTCCTGTCATGTCCCTCCCAGTTCCCTTATGGCACTGAAAAGAAAGGAGAAATGGATGATAAATTTGGCTCTGTGCTCCCTTGTTAAGGCTAATGTTTCAGAGCTGAGAAAGGTTGGGTTACACGGCGATGTAGGGTGAATAGAATAGACGAAACAAAATGGATGGTAAGCAAAAGGGTTTGAGTCTGCTTGCATTCCCTGATCAAACTCTGCATTTTGTTGTGCCTCTTGTGAGTTTAAAAAAGAGTGTGAAATTCCCATCTCATTTTATATCCTACTTCTCTTTTTGCAATGCTCTTAGGTTGATATCAAGTGTCTAAAGCCAGCTCCTGGAGGTTATTACTATCCCAGTCATTTGCCAGTCTTAGGTGAGATTGTACGTGCAATATTCCACTATATAATTGCCCCATGAAAGATATGATAATTCACGAGTGACACAAGTCTACTACGTATATAATATATTGCCGTCAATGCACAGTTGTATAGATATACAACGTCTCTGCCGCTAGACAATACTCATGCAAGAACCTCATGTGCAGTCACACTCAGTGATTTTGTTGGACATCTAAGTAGCAGTAATGTTGTAATAAAACCTGCATCATGGTTACATACATTTATAATGCGTGTCTCTTCAAAAACATATAAATGTTCAACCTATATTTTCTCGTTTTTATGTGATATACAGGTGCTCCTCAATTGTTCCATGCTACACAAGACATCCCTGATTATACGCCCCCCACAGTGTTACTAACTACAGATGTTGGTGGACCATTGCGTTCTTCTGAAGTTCCATTTGAACATCATGGTCTGGTTCCTGGAGACAATGTTCGAGTGGGATTAGATGTTGATGTATTCAAAATAATGCAGGAGGGCCATGGAGATTGGGATGATAGTTTGCTCAATGTAAGCTTGATCGATTACTGAATATATGTACATTGTTTTTTGTGTTTACATAATTAGGTAAATTTTATGTTCAGTGACGTAAATTTGGTACGTAGTTTAGATTATGAATGTGATGAATTACCTCCAACGACACATGCAGTCTAACTGTTTAGCTAACAAATTAATGATGTGAAACCTCTTGCGAACTTTTAATGTATATGTAGAATGAATATAGTTTAGAAGAAGATTGTGAAAATGCTAGAGCAAATCAGAATCCTTGGTTTGCCACTCTCAATATCATCCCAGAATTGCATTGCAATGCTGCTGGCAATAGTGCAACATAATTGTAATTGGTTTCTAAAACACGTAATTGTGAGTGTCTTACTTCACCTAGGCAACAATATAAGGATTGTGTGATAGGCTCGAGAATGTCAGCGTGCTTGAAATCTGCTGCCAATCCTTATCATCTCCATAAGTTTCTTCTTCATTAACCCTCGGCGTGAATGCGCAGCGAGGGTTACAGTACTTGGTCTGTGTGTGTCCCGTCTGTCTGTCTCTCAGCAACTATTCTTGCACTACAGGGTTTGAGGCGGCCCATGAGCGATACCAACGTCTTCAGAACTACACGAACCTGAAAAATAAAATGGTGATTTTCCTGTAATGACTGCGTTCAAGATATATGCCGTGAAATCAAGCGATAAAGTCAGTATGCATAATCGCACCAGCTTACCTCGACCGATCCGCTTGCTTTTTGTACGTACCTTGCGGAGGCACAAGAAGTCACAAGAAAGCCGTGTATCGACTCCCGCATCGGCATGCTATCTTATAGTGTAGCTAGCCAATGTCAGACTCTCCACGACGAACTAGCGTGGAGACCACGAGAAAATGCATACTCATAGCCCAGCCCATCAATTAGCGGTACCGCGCATGCGGAATGCGCCGAGGGTTTGCACAAGGTTTCCATTATAATAAGTTGGTTGGCCGTTTCAAAAAGTTTTATGTGAAATATATACGTACATCTAATGGATAGATACAACGTCGGTCTGAAGAGACATGTTTATGAAGGCATATGTGGCCTGTATACTTAAGTACTTTTCATGAAAATTTGCGGGAGTTTTTAATGTAATGCTACATAATATTATCTTTCACAATTATTAGCCTACGTACCTTATTTTTTGCAAAGTTATTAAATTAACTGTCCTGTAAATAGATTTGTGTACTTAGGTGAAGACAACCCTTAGGATTAAATGCCATCATAATATTATGCAAACAATGAAAATGCAAACCCTCGGCAAAGATGCGCGTGCTTGCTAGAGAAGGGTTCAATGTAAGCAAAGTTGAGGAAGACCGTCGTCTGTGAAAAGGCTGCAGACGAGGTAAGCATACTACGTACCAAGTGAGGCACATCTTTCACTGTGCAATTGCTATGTTTGTAGCTCAACAATAGGATTGGTGAAGGTTCTCTGCAGAATTTAAGCCTATGTGAAAATGGGATATGTTACGGAGAATATCTCGCACATTCGCGAATAACTTGGAAATGCACGTGGAAGTACATGCACGTGTGGTACTCCTAATTGATGGGCTGGGCCTAGCCTATACTGACTTGTGGTCTCAAGCTCCTACCAGGTTGCAAAGAGTTGCTAGCTAAAATACTAGATAACATGCGAGAGTCGATACATGCCCTTCATTTGTAACTTCTGGTGCCTCCACGGTATGAAGAGCAAGCGTTCTGGTGAGGTAAGCCCATGCTAATTTGCTTATTGTCTCCTTCACTTGGTTTGCACCTCGTATTTCTCGAACACAGCAATTTTCAGAGAAAACCCCACATATTTTTCAACCTTTATCCGGCGCTGAATATGTGATATTGTTTGTGGAGCAATTCGTGGCTCGTGAAGTGAGATGTCAGGTAACAGACGGACAGACAGAAGGACACACACGACACCTGATTGATTGAAATTCATTGCCTTAGGTTTACAGGAAGTACAAACACAAACACATACAAACACTACACACAATGGATGCTAGAGAATCTGATAGATCCATAGTCAGGGTTGTAGGTGAACAGGCTGAGGCAAAGTGAACCAAGGGGGCTACCCATCCTGCCATGACATCCAGGACCCAACGTTAGCAAATCTAGCATGGCTGCTAAGTTCATTAGCCAGATACCTCTACCCATCATACGTAGGTCAGGATTGTTGGTGACTGTAACCATCGCTACGCATGTGTGCCGAGGGTTAAAAATCCATTTAACTGTTATCAAGTTAAAGGTTTCACTTAAAGGGAAGTGTCAGTACATACGTACGTTGGTACTATGTTTAGAACTGTTACCTAAGATATAACTTAACATTGGGGCCCAGTGCAAGAATGTAATTTGGTTTCCGTGTTTAGTCAAAATTTAGCCTCATGTCTGTGTAAGTAGTATGTGTATACGTGCTACCTTTGTTTACTAACATTTAAGTAATGGTTAACCCACGGGAGCACAAGCGGGACCCCAAGCCGTTTTCATTACCGTCCTCGGGCTTCGCCCTCAGATGGTATTGAAAAGTGGCTAATGGGATATCCAGTACCACTTCAGTGCCCGTGGGTTAATCGTTTTGTAGCCCAAGAACACTGCTACACCATGCTAGGCAGTTGTAATGAAGGTCTACACGTGGCCAATTGCTGACCATTCGAACGCGGACTACAGTGCTCGGCCTAAGCGATACCTCAGTGGTGGTTTTACTTCACGGCATGTAGAATTGTAGATCTGCCACACAGAACATTTTTTTCTTTGTCTCTGTCGGTCAAATATATACTCATACCCTCTGGTGGATATAAATATCCCCCAGGAAGTAGTCGCGTAAACGTATGCTGGTATACTTGGTACCACTGACACGTATAAATGAAGTTTTATTATGTACACAAGTGGAACAATCATTTCTTCAAAATGAAGGGGGTATAGGGATGGCTCAAAGCACCAAAAAGGATGGGGAGCAAGGGGTAATTTTACAGCTAAGACACACAAATCAACATGATACTATCCCTATATCATTGTCTAATCGTACTTCCCTGTTAGAACAAAGATATAGGGATAGTGTCATGTTGATTTATGTGTCTCCTCATTAACCCTCGGCGCGCATGTGCCAGGGGGTTACGGTCCCTGGTTTTGTAAATCTGTCTCTCTGTCCGCTGTGCTTATTCTCGCATCTTGCGCTCTGACAAGCGCAACAAAGGACACTAGATTAATGAGTATGATGAGGAAAACAAAGTATAAAAGCCGTTTTCTCTAAAACTGCTTACTTAAAAAGTTACAGCGCGTTTTGTTTACTGCGGCCAAGTTCGCCATTTTGTATATTTTTTACCACTGACACGCACGTTGGTTTTGTGATACTATGCGCATGAGGATGAGTAGATAAAAAGAGAATGGAGACTCCCAATCCTGGCGGTACAAACGATCTTCCACAACCCCACAATGCCATCGATACTGCGAGTTCAATTCTTGCATACTTTTTTACACCACTTTATATGTCTATTGCTATTCTCCTTTTGTTTGTAACAAATTCCCAAGTGTGGGTGGAAGTAGCTAATATTTTTGCTTCTTGAGATGCTGCAGGGACATGGGTCTGCGCCGAGGGTTTGCACAGTAGTGCTTTTCATTCTTTCCTTTTTGGTGCTTTGAGCCATCCCTACGTATACCCTACGTATACCCCCTTCATTTTGAAGAAATGATTTTCCCACTTGTTTCCATTTTTTTAATGAACCACATAGCATTTAATTTACTTTGGTGTGCATGGCGTTGACGATTAACTGATTCAATTTGCACTACCTTGCTTCAAGCAAATAATTGCCGAGCGCGTTAGCGTGAGGCAACTACTCCGGGTTGTATTCTCGCGATATGCGTACGTACGTACATCGTCAATTAGTCACGCTTAGGAATGTAGTCACCAAAAGGTAACTTTCGTCATTCGTAGGAAGTCTAGCTTCCGCCGTGCGCGCTGATTCGTAGGAAGTCTGGCTTCGCACGCAGTCAGTAGAGCGCGCGCACGAGCGGCCTCAGTCGGAATGTTTACGCATTGGCTGGCGGCGCGAGGTAAAATATGCGCGTGCGCATTCCTAGTTTTATGCGAGACTGGTGGGCTACAGGGAGAGGGGGATGTGAGGAGTTAGCCAACAGCCTACAGAAGTATGCGATGCACGAAAAAAGTGCATGAAAGTTGAGCACTCTTCTCCTGCTCTGTGGAAGTCCGTTACAAAGGGGCTTGATTTGCACTACACAAAAGCTACAAAGAATCTAGCACCTGAGTTGGTAGAAATTGGTAGAAAAGTGGCATTCCGTTTCTGTGCTGTCGTCGAGATTGAGGTGTGTTTTCGTTGATTTTGCTACACCATTGGCAGTACCACTGTGAGAAAGGCTTGGGTGAGTGGGGAGAGTTCACCGGTGATAAAAGACTCTTTAACCCACCATCCCTGGTTCTCAAGGCTGGGGCACCCATCTATGCCTACAGGTCTTGCTAGCTGACCCTCTCTAATGGTACTGCCCTACACTTTTGTCATATAATATGTTATTTTTGTGCTGCTGTGTTCCTATAGATTATTTTTGTAACCTTTTATACCTCTTATATGGTTTATTTTATATATCGCAGATTATTTTTGATACCATTTGATAACTTTTATACCGCCTGTACCGTCTGTTGTAGTCATTTCACCACCTTCGTGCATCAGCTCGCGTGTTTTGCTGTCCCAAGTAAGCCCTTATGGATATATGTATGTTAATTGTAGCCCTTTTGAAGTCCTGTTTTCTTTCTCTTTTTCTTTCTTTCTTTTTATGTATATAGCGTGAGCTGTTCAGTTTTCATGCACTTGTCATCCCTGTCTACATACTTGTTTAATCAAACTTGGAGAGTGACTAAGTAACTTGATAGTACGTATATCACTATGGACTGAGCTGAGTACAACTCTTAGCTTCACTTATGCACATGATCCGTTGAACTGTTATTGCTCCTTCACTGGCATACATGTTGCATACATGTTGCGTGGTTAATCCTGATTTGTTTTCCGATTGTACGTATGTGGTTTGATTGATACATATATATTAACTGCCAGAATGTAGGACCTGTGTATTGTGTATAGGTAAGAGGTACGTAGTTGCACTTCGCTGGCCTAGACTGCAGATTGTCATGGGTTCGAAACCCACCCAGGGCAGCTCTTCTTTTCTTTGAAAAGAAAGAACTGTCCTGGTGTAGTTGACTTGTTTGCCTTGCCTTGCCTTTCTACCTTTTTACCAAATTGTTGAGATGTGCCTATGTAGATCTCCCAGATAACATAACTGGTAATGGGTAGTTTTCGTTTAGCATGCGCATGAATTATCAAGCTGTTTTATCTTATTGTTGTGTCTGTCTCTCTATACCGATCTATAGAATCTCTCCGATGTTGGTACTGTGCAAAGTGTGTTAGATAATGGAGACATTAGAGTTAAATACTCAGGCTCAAGAATCTACACTCTTAATCACAACGCCGTCACTAAGGTACGTATGTTAAATTTATCGCAACCACAACTCGCATCACTGGTTGTTGTCTTGTAGGTGACATGTTTTTCTACTGGAGATATTGTACAAGTCATAGATGACATTGCTGCAGTGCACAGCTTTCAAGAAAATCATGGTGGTTGGGTTGATGATATGGCATTGGTAGGGTGATAAATATAACTATATGTGATGTTGAAGCTTGTGAGGTTGCACCAATGATGTAGACTACTGTAGACAATTTGTTACAAAACTAAGTAGTATTGACAGAGTCACACATGGTTAAGGGAAGAAAACATTGAAAAGTTTAACCCCAGTTTGGGTGGGGGGGGGGGATGCATGAGAATAAAATTTGCTACTCTGAGAAGCATCATTTAAGCTGATGTAAGTATGTGTTTCTCAGGAAAACTTTGGATGGACATTCTCTCTGTATTAAATAGACATGTGATTTGAAAAACAGTTATGGCGAACGGGAGGGAGCTAATTAGGTGGTTCTTTGGGCTTCATTCTTCTATGGTTAGTAGTAGTGATGACAAGGGTCTCCCGGTATTACATCGTTTCCATGATTCGATTTTGAACAAAAACAGATAGTCTCAGGCACTTAAAGTTACTTCTTCACTCGTTAAAGGTAGCACACATTAAGTGAAAATTTGTGTTCATTACATTTGCAACAAATAGCTTCAGGCGTTCTTCTCTAAATTTACTTCTTTACTCCTCAAACTTGCTAACAGTAGCACACATTGTGATGAAACTTCATGTGCATTTGTATTAAAGCATTTCCACGACAACCACACATTGTAAAAATTAAACCACAAGTGTTTTTCATTATTTTCACACGTTGTAGTATATATATGATCCAAGTACGTAAAAAATTCTGTGTATTTAAAAATAGCCATGTAGGGATGGTATAAAAAGGAAGAGAGACAAGATAGGGATGATACATGAAGCATGGTTATTGAACAGATTTGAGTACGCCGACACCCCCGACCCCATCACACTATCCCTATATTGTTTCCTAAGTGAAGTTAACACTTTGTGCGCCGCGTAGTATTGCGGAAATTTCTCCGCGTAAGCGGAATTATGCATGCACGGAATATTGCCACGCCCATCAGTGTAATAGGTAATTCCGCGGCATTTCTGAGAAATTACGTGCGCGCCATTTAAGTGGCACCCGGCGCCCATAGTGGCATTCAACATTACAGTAGTCAGGAACTATAGCTTGAAATAAAGAGTCATGCATGTATCACGTAGATCAAATTTTCACCACGTGTTTACAGTTGTGGAATCATTGCGCCGTCAGCGTTTTTATACTGGAGCCTTGTATGCATGTGCGTTAGTCAATGCTGTTGTTTTTATTTTCTGATTTTACCTTGTCATAGATCCCTATTTTTCTACTGATCAATTCCCTATTCAATTTTTAGATCATCTATTCATCTATATAATAACTAATATATAAATCGATTCTGTATGAACTGCTGTTAGTGTAGCTGTTACCTGTAGTTAGGTTTGGACACTAGGTGTGGAGAGTTGGCATGCCGTAAAAAACTCTGCCCCAGTTCTCAAGGCTGGGCATCTGGTGTTCAAAGCTCACGATTATGCAAGTTTTGTTGACGTTTCTAGAAATGTGTAAATTTACAACATTTTGTGACCGAGAGGGTTACACATGTTTTGTCATGTAACCAACACTGTTATAGAGTCCAAATTGAGTTTAAGAGTGCCACATCAGGCAAAAATATGGGGATTGTGTAATAGGGTCAGGGGTGTCACCATGCTAGTTAACCTCAGTTCATGTATCCCATCCCGAGCGTGTTTCCCTTTCCATTCCTATGTGCCTCATTTTGGTGGTATAATTGATTGTTTTATGTCCTTCATTGAGTCAGAGGCCTTCTATATGAAGATTTTTCCTTTGTTGAGGGAGAGACTTTCCATATGAAGGTTTTCTGTGTCAGTGGCAACGTGACAGAAAAGAGGCAGTGGGACACTAGAGCTTACCTAATATGCCGGAGTTTACACACAGCTGGGAATGTTTTCTGTCATCATAACAACACATTTGGTGTTTTTTTTGCATCTGCTTGTAGAGGTCATCACAAAGCACCAAAGAAGGAATAAGCACTGCTCTAAGTACAGGAATCTGCCAATTTAGCAGTTGTTCAAGATACCACGTGCTCAGTAGTCTAACTTTTGCATTGCTATTTTGCAGAGGAGGTTGTTCACGTGTTTTTGATTGGGTCACTTGATTGTGTCACGTGCACTCTAGCTTGTCCAGTCAACCCGCTGGGTCAGCACTTTATTGGCACTGGCATTTGCAAGGCTACGAATGTTGTTCATGGCACACCGAGGTATACACATTCAAGGAGTATGCCCACCTGAACACCAGGCAAAACATCTTCCTCTTGCAGCTAAAATACCTGAGGAGCATGTGCGAACAGCTAAGGAATGTTGATTGTGGAAGCTCCTCTGGCTTTTTTTAGCCCTGAACTGGCTGTATTTAGAAGGGCTCTCTAATTAAGAGGGCAACATTTGGGTACTTGTAATCTACAAATTGGCGGTTGTCAGGGTCACCGCATCCTCGCTTCCGATCCACGCGGCATCCAGCTCTCCTGCTGAGGAAACTGTCAACTGTTCGAGAAAGGACCGCATGCTCTTTGCCTAGCCTGCTTGTAGAATAGGCAGGTCCCTCCACCCGCAAAAGGAGAGAGGGGATCATCTTCTTTACCTAAAAGTTAATAAAAAAGGAGCGACTGTCACCTGAAGGCAGAGACTCGTCTACCTCAAGCTCAATATTAGTTGTCTTGATTACCTGTACCCTAATATGTATGGCAACTGTTGAATGCAGTCACATACAAACACATCTCCCGCTTATCAAAATGTAATACATTCATCTATTAACATGGCTAATGTCAGTACATTTTCATTTCCAGGCAGTAGACTCTGGTTACATGGATATATACAAGTACTTTGTTAGAATCGATAAACATGGCAAAACTTTAATTGTAGGTGTTTACTGTTTACTGGCACAGATGTTCTACCATTCCTCTATCCCAAAAATGTTTTTCTCTTGCAGAGTTTGGGTCAAGTTGGTCGTGTTGTCAAGGTTTTTCCGACTGGTGATGTAAGGGTTGTTGTTAATTCAAGAACATGGACATACAATCCACGTTGCCTCTCCCATGCTCCATTAAAAGAGATTGCTGAAGATGAATGTGCGTGATATTTTTTCACCAGTTATAGTTCATGCATGATATTGATTTTTAGCTGGAGATCTTGAGGAGGAAGGAGGAGATCTGAGTTTGAACCTCAAGCTACTTTCAGTGCTAGATAATCCAGCTATAGTAGTAGCAGCTGCTGCATCCGGTGATGTGGGAACTTTACGTGAGTTCTTGGCAAGGCATCCATCACAGGTATGAAAAGTTTATTGTGGTACACGGTAACCCACATAATTAGTTGCTAAAAGAAGTGGAAAAATTAAAAGCAGCTATTTAATTGCATTGTCGAGATGGTTTGAGAGTGCGGAGCAGGTCAGGGGTATATTCCCAAGATAACTTAGATAGAATTTTGTGTATCCTGAGCTTTCAGTAAATCAGTCAACCTGTTTCTAGGCTCTAATAAAATGAGAAGCACTAAAGTGCAAACCGTCGGCGTAGAACCAGTGCTATTACTAGACCGATAGTTTTTAAATCATAGCACACTGGGAATTTGCAAAAATATTTATTTTCTAGTCGTAAAAAATGTGTGAAAAAAGGTACCAGCAAGAATTAAACTCGGACCGTGGTAATTTTATCAAAGACAACGGCCTGGTCAACTACGCTTTATGTGTAATGTTGCAATCGTTTCTCTGCTGATGCCCATGCGTACCAGAGTGAGTTGTGCACGTGGCATCGGTTGCGTCAGGCGCGCCTTAGAGTCGCCCACACAAGCCTGTCAACCTGTTGAGTCAGCACTTTCTGCAGAACGGCACACTGGCATTTTCAAGGCTACGAGTATTCTCTGTGGTGCACGCTTTGGCACATTATAATCGAGAGAAAGCAAGGTCTTGGCTGACCTGAACACCAGCCAGAGCCATTCTTTTCGGAGCTACAATACTTGAGTACAGTATTGTGCATGCGCGAACTACTTATGAATGCTGATTGTGCACAACCTCCTTTGCGTGCATTTGTGCGTGTCTGCGCAAAGCATAGCTATGAAGAACCCGCATATCGTAGAATCTAAATTGCCGATCTTTCTGCGGTAATTAAAAACGTTCTGACCTTTCTCGTAAGCGACTTTATTTGATTAACTTGTCACATCCAATATGCTAGTACTATTCTTTTTGCGTGTCATAAAAGACAGACAACAAACTAAGTACCATAACCCTCACTGTGCATGCACGCCGAGGGTTATAAGGAAAACACACCTAGTGGTGAGTGGGTTTCATTTTCAAGGAGAGCATCCTTGCACCTCCCCCCCTCTCCCCAACTGGAAGGAACCCTTTGCATCATACTGCACTTGAGCATCTCTGCTTTTTTATTTAGCCATCACTCTTACACCACTGGACTGAAATACTGGACTGACCACGCATGCGCATTATGAACTTCACCGCATGGGCCAGAGTGCAAGCCGGCTCGAAAAGATGCGTAGAATGACTGAGAGCGAACCTATTGTCGTTGATAGTGACACGGATATTATACAACACTGGATCTGCTCTTTATACCTTTTGATAACAGCTTATGACAAGTGATATAAAACGTCGAATCAGGGGGACATTGTCACAAGAGCTCCACTCTCAGAGGCCACTCCAAGTTGCATTCCGGTTTCTGGTCAGGGCCTTTTCAAGTCAAGATGCAGGCGGGGCCAGTTTTACTCATTATCCACTTAGTAATAATATTACCACAAAAATTCATAATGGGAAGACGTCACAAGCGCAAAGCCATAGTACACACAGTGCGGCGTTAGCAGTTAATAAAACTGTGTTCTCTTGAAATGGGTGCAGGCGGCGGACTAGAAACCAGTATACAACTTGGAGTGGCCTAATAAGCGGGTGGCTCCACCAAACCGGCGGATATCTGCGCAGCTGTCCAAGCGGAGTGAGCCCACCTAGGCGCCTGAAGGTCTGTAACGGTGAACGGATTGCAGAGTTACGGACCAACATACCGTAGTGTTTATCTCCGTTGCAGTTCCAGGCGGCGGTGAATATCACTCGGCTCCATTCCTGGCGCGCGGCGGCATGGAGAACGGTGGTAATTGTGTGATGCGCAACCATTGTTTACTGTTCGTTTGCTGTATATATATATATGCGCATGCGCGGTCAGTCCAGTATTCCAGTCCAGTGTTCCTGTCCAATGGTCCAGTCCAGTGTATAGTGACGGCCTTTTGATTTGAATAATTTTTTTTGCAGGTTAATACCAAGGCTGGTGGCAAAGCTGCAATCCATTGCGCATGTGCTCAAGGGAATGTCGAGGTGCTAAAATGCCTCTTGGAATTTTCTCCAGATATTGAAATCACAGTTAGTGTCATATCTGCATTTAACAATGCTTTCTTAGACAAAGCGATTACACATTACTATTTTGAATGTAAACTCAATTTCTACTGTTTGTCATCGTCAGTAGAGTAGTCAGCACAACCCTCTCTGCGCTCAGAGAGAATCATTTTTCTGCTCTACATAATAGTTACTGTCACAAAATGCTATTCCAGTTTCCTTTCGCAGGATGAAGATGGGGATAGGCCAATGCACCTGTCTGCCTACAGGTAAAATCAAAACAACTTTCTTTTAGCAATATTTTGTACTTTACACTATGTGCTGCACCCAAAAGCTAACAGTTGAATCTAGTGTCATAAGTGCCCACCTTGATGCATATTTTAAGGGTGGGTACTGTATTTATGCAACACTGTTGCTTTATAGAAACGAGTTCTGTCTGTGTGTGTGTTTGTGGGGGTGATCGAGGAGAAAGGGGGAGAAAGGAAAGTGACCAAACACAAACACAATAAGACCAGAGGCTGGGAGACTTTTGTCAACTTCACTACACACGGCAGCTCAGCGGTCAAAATTATATGTATTTACCAGGATACCAACTTCTGCTTCAGTGTTTTGCGCTTGTGCAGCCCTAGCCTATCGCATTTAATTACACAGTTTCACTCATACAAACACAAGAGCAGGACATGGATGCCCAGCCTTGAGAACTGGGGACGGTGGGTTAAAGATCTTTGATGGCTAGCCAACTCTCCCCACACATCCAATGTCACAGACTCTCGTGCAAAATCTACAGCTTACAGTACTGTATTGAAGTAGTTACAATCACATACCTTAGGCTCTGTGGGGGACTTGCAATCCTATGGTTCTACTAATGCACAGTGGGTATTTATATGGAGTTGTGATGTCATAGGTATGGAATTTCCTAAGGGCAAGTGGGCTTGTTACTCCTGGTCCTGGGTGATCCTCGGCGCGCATGCGCAGCGAGGGTTACGGTAGTTGTCCCGTAAGTGTGTCTGTCTGTCAGTCTAGTCTGTCTGTCTGTCTGTCTGTTACCACGTTTTCTGCCATCGCGCGCACGAAATCAGGTAAATAGCGATATGATCGAGTTCAGTGCTACACTGGGTTGATTTCAAAAAAGGCGATTTTCATAAAACTACTGCGTTCTAAAGTTATGGCGTGAAAACCAAGTGAACAAGCCAATATGTAAATTAGCACAGGCTTACCTCGACTGCGTCTGTTCGTTCTGTGTGTCTTGAAGGAACAACAAGTCACAACGAAGGGCATGTATCGACTCCCGCATGCTAGTTACTACTGTAGCTAGCCCGTGCCAGACTCTCCGCGAGCTACTAGTGGGATACCACGAGTAAAGGCATAAAGCCCAGCCCATCAATTAGTGGTACCGCACATGCGCAGTTCGCCGAGGGTTTGCACTTTAGTGCCCATTTACTCTGGTGAAACTCACAAGTGTAAAAATGGTGTGTCTGTGCATAGATTCTGGCACTACAGGCTACAATGCGGCCTATTAGCGATACCAGCGGCTTCTGCGAATATGAAAAATAAAAGGGCGATTTTCCTGAAACGACTGCGACAAACTTGCACGGTCGGGGACTGCGCTGCGTGGCCCAACCCATCAATAAGCGGTGCACATGCGTATTATATTAGACGCTCACCTCTACCTGATCCGCTTGCTCTGTGTAGGCTTGGAGGCACAAGAAGCCACAGCGAATGGCGTGTATTGACTCCCGCATGCTATCTACTATCGTAGCTAGCCCATGTCAGACTCTCCGCGAGCTACTAGCCGGAACTAGCGGGAGACCGCGGGTAAGCCCGGCCCATCTATTAGCGGTACCGCGCATGCGCAGTTTGCCAATGGTTTTGCAGACAAAAGTAATGCTACTGAGAGAGTCGAAGTGTAGTTTATGTGTGGCACACCAGGCATCAGTATAGGAATTGTGTGATTGGGTCCTGGGTGTCGGCGTGCTAAAATCTGTTCATTAACCATGCTTCATGTATCCCGCCCTACCTTTCTTTTTATGCCATCCCTATATGCCTCTTTTTAATTCGCAAGATTTTTAATTTACTTTTTATTAGAAATGCCATGGGGTCAACCCACCTGTAACCTGTAAACACAATCAGACACATTAGTTTCCTTGGCTTATAGTTCAGTGCCATTTTATGTCATTGAAAATCAGAGAGACTATATCATTTACCAGTGATGAAGATGAAGTTGCTCAGTTGCTAATTGCAGCAAATGTGGATGTTAATTCCAAGAACAATAAAGGTGCAACCCCTCTCATTATTGCTGCAGTCAAAGGTCACCACAGTGTGCTGCGAATATTGGCTAATAACCCAAACACCAATTTGCATGATCAGGTATGTACTATACACATTCGCAACTCAACATTTTGTGTGTGTGTGTGTGTGTTGGAAGCTACGTAATTGTAGTTTTAAAAATTGTGAAGGATGATTCAAACTCCCAAAGCCCACTATTGTAAAGAGCCAAGTTGTAAGAGGTTCCTGTGGGATGAGATATGAGAAGTAAATATAATGGAAAATATAGGGATGGTATAAAAACCATGGAGATATGACAGGGGTGACCTAGTACAAGTGATGCCGCATTACAATGGATGAATGACATAGTTCATGGACATCCGGAAAGTCTCTGAACCCAACGTGCGTTTGCGTGCAAAATGGAGTTTAATACACATAGTTAACAATGAGTCTCAGTGGCACCGCCACGCCTCCGCGAGGGTTATTTCAGATGCATGCGCAGTCCGCGACTTCACGTTCAGGCGAAAGAGTCTCAAGCAGGCGACAGCATGGGGCAGCAGTTTTTCTTCAGTTTTCTCAGCGATGGCGGAACCGGCCGACACCGAAACGTCTGGAAACCCCCCGGGGGATGCTGCTGCACAGCAACCAGAGACACTGGCCGCCCAGATCGCGCAGCACCTGTTAACAGCTCTCCAGGGCGGGAGCCAGCCGCCCCTGGAAACGGGTATGTCTCCCTTCTCTACTTTCCCTATCCCCTTCCACCCAGTGGGTGTGAACAATGCGGAACTTGCTCGTATTATAGGCGACTGAGGGCGTAGGCACCTACAACAGGCAGCCGCGCGCTCGCAGTCTGGAGTGGCTCTGGCAGCCAGGCCGAGCCGTGTAAGCAGCGTGTGCAGACAAATGTCAGGCCCAGCACGGCTCGTGGCAGTGAGGCAGCACGGCCAGATCGAGTGGCGGTCAGGAGTGGTGGTCAGCACGGTGAGGTGTGCTGATCAGACTGATAGCAAGGCTTTAGGTGCAGGAAGTGCATGGTGTAGGCCGGCTATTATCCGCTGTGTTCCCATTGCACGGGTGTTCAGGTGGGAAGGCTTCCACCAGAGAGCTTGCTCAAGGGCCTACAGCACTTTGCCAAAGCTGAGATGCCTGCGGGTGAGGCTGGGAGCAGCAAAGATGCAGCTAAGGCTCTGAGTCACTCAGGGGACGTCGACACCTCAACAGTGACTGCGCAGTCTAAGTTGGTGTCGGTGGGGACAGGCCTCCCCTCGCTGCCCAAAACGATGGTCGACCGCATTATCTCGGGGCAGTACGTCAACTTTTCTGAGCTGCCTCCCGCTAGGGGGTGTGCTAGGCCCCTGCCGAACGCAGAAGACAGCTACATAATGGTCATCCGTGCAGAAGACCTGGCAGGGACCAGAAAGCTAATTCCAGACCTGGCGACATGGCTTCAATGTTTCGCCGTGTACATGGCAGTGGTGACAGAGCACGACCCGGGGCGAACCAAATAATTGCTGGCATACTTTTCCACTATAGCCAAAGCGAGCGCTAAGTACAGCTGGTCTTCTTTGGTGGTCTACGACCAAAATTTTGGGCAGGAGGCAGCAGACAGCGGGCGCAGGGCTAAAGTGGAACAGAGAATATACACCCAATCCTTCACGAATGCCTCGATGAGCAGCGAGAACTGGTGCAAAGTGTGTCAATCCATTGACCATGGCTCCGACGTGTGTCCAATGCGAAGCCTGAGCAACAATGCCACTCCTGGCCCTTCCTTGCGGAAGAGGCCACTGGAGCCATCGCAACCGGCTCCCAGGAAGCGACCTGCCCCTCACAGTCTCCCTCAGATCTGCAAGCGGTTCAATCAGACAATGGAGACTGCAGGTTCGGTGACCAGTGCATCTACCAGCACAAGTGTGATTAACCCTCGGCGCGCATGCGCAGCGAGGGTTACAGTAGTTGGGTTTGTCTGTCTGTCTGTTTGTTTGTCTGTTACTCTCAATCTCACTTCTCGGGTGTCTGTTCGTCCCAGAAACGATACCATCTACCCAACAGGCGACGAAGGTCAGAAAATATGTGGGGTTTTCTCTGAAAATGCTCCGTTGCAGAGCTAGAGCGCTTCCACCATTGTACGGCTAATGCGTAGTCGGCCATTTTTATCGCTGCGGAAAATGCGCATGCGCTTATATCCTCGACCGGGTCCGCTTGCTCTGTGTATCTTGAAGGCACAAGAAGTCACAACGAAGGGCGTGTATCGACTCTCGCATACTATCTACTACTGTAGCTAGCCCGTGTCAGACTCTCTGCGAGCTACTAGCGGGAGACCACGAGTAAACGCATACTAATAGCAGCACAGCCCATCAATTAGCGGTACCGCGCATCCCCAGTTCGCTGAGGGTTTGCACTTTAGTGCTTTTCATTCTTGCGGCAAGACAGCTCACGCTAGGAGCCAATGCCCTGAACAAGAAAAGAGGACCCCTCAGGTCTATGCCGGCCGGGGCCAGCAGGGTCGGCGGAGCTAGCTGTTAGCTTAGGCTAGTGCCGACCATTGTACTCTCCATTGTCTAGGCAGAAACATCTAGTCTCCTCTGCATATAGCAGGTAGCTACATGTACTATTGAGTGGTGTATTGCAGTGCCACAGCTCGTCTCTGTCACCACGCACTCTCACTCACATACATCCTCTCACGCATGCACACACTCTTGCACACACCCATGTATGCACCTCAGACAAACAGCCCCACCTCCCGCCAGCCGAAGGCGCTAGGTATGAGTACATGCAGCAGCTGCAGGAGCTGGACAGGTGCAGACCTCTCCATAAGAATGTGGTACCAGCCAATCCTGCTCATCTGGAGACCCCGTAAAGCTGAGCATGTGGAGGTCAGCCTTAGCCGCACAACCTGACGAGGATTTCGCTAAGTACATACTAGATGGTCTGGAGCAGGGGTTCAGGATTGGCTTTAGCTATGACAAAGCAGTCCTTCTGCAGTACATGCCATGTCCCAATCCAGAGGTCGTGACCAAATGCCTAAGCGAGGAACTGCAACTGAACCAACTGGTGAAGCTAACAAAGGAAGAGGCGGCCAGGGCAGGAGTTCATTTTAGCCCAATCGGGACATCCCGAAGAAGAACAAGCCAGGGAAGTGGAGACTAATAGTCGACTTATCAGCGCCAGATGGAGCCAGCACCAATGACGGAGTGGACAAGGAGGCCTGCAGCCTATCTTACACCTCCGTGGACCACATTGCGGCCAGAGTGGCAGGGATGGGGAGAGGTACCTTGCTGGCCAAAATGTATGTAAAACAAGCATACAGGATGGTAACAGTCCACCCGAGCGACCGACATCTCTTGGGCATGCTAAGTGAGAGTCAGTCTATGTAGACAAGGCTCTTCCCTTCGGCCTCAGGTCAGCGCCACTAATATTCTCTGCTGTAGCGGACGCACTGCAGTAGATGATACAGGCGAGGGGAGTGTCCTTTGGTGACCATTACATAGACGACTTCATCATCTTGGGCAGCCCCTCGTCCAAGGAGTGCGCAAGGAACGTGCAGACCATGCTTCAAGTTTGCAGAGAAGCGGGGGTCCCGATAGAGCAAGTCGGAAGGTCCGGCATCAGCTCTTATGTTCCTGGAATCGAGATAGATTCGTTAGCCATGGAACTTAGATTGCCGGCAGACAAACTCACACAGCTACAGAGCCTCCTACGGCAGTGGAGGGGCAAGAAGGCATGTACGAAACGCGAATTGCAGTCAATCATTGGCAGCCTGTCCCATGCTTGCAAGGTGGTGAGACCAGGCCGGGCATTCCTGCGTGGGCTAATGGACTTGGCAAAGCTGGCAAAGTGCCCTCACCATCATCTGCGCCTGTGCCATGATGCCAGATCAGACCTGGAGTGATGGTTCCGGTTCGCAGCTACGTGGAACGGCGTGTCGATGCTCCAGCCAACCTCGCAGTCGAGCACTTGTCTAACTTCAGATGCGTCGGGGAGGTGGGAGTGCGGTGCGTTTTGCGAGCATTCCTGGTTTCAGCTGCAGTGGCCCAAATCAATTCAGCAAGCGCACATATCTGTAAAAGAGTTGATGCCAATTGTTCTGGTGTGAGGCAGTAGATGGGCAGGCCAGACTGTCTTAGTCCGCTGTGACAATTCAGCGGTAGTGGACACCTTGAACAAAAGCAGTTGCCGAGAACCAGAAATGATGCACCTGGTTAGGTGCCTAGCTTTCTTGAAGGCGGATTTCCAATTCTCTCTAATGGCATCCCATATCACAGGGTCAGAAACTACTATCAGTACTAGCTGATGCCTTATCAAGAGAAAACCTGGACTGTTTCCTGTCTCGCTACGGAGGACGGGCTTGCCCCTAGCACTATCAAAGCCTATCTGTCGGCAGTGCGGCACCTGCAGATTGCGGCAAACCTGCCCGACCCGCAGGTAGGTGACATGGCCCGCTTAGAGCAGGTAATAAAAGGGTCCAACCGGGAGTACACTTGGAGAAACCCGCCTAGAAGGGAGCATCTTCCAATACCCCGGATGTACTGCTGAAGATGAGGGCCGTGTGGGACAGGGAAGCATAAAAATTAGACAACATCATGATTTGGGCAGCGTGCTGCCTGTGCTACTTCGGATTTCTCCGCTCAGGCAAGGTAACCATCTCGTCCGTCAGCTTACGACAGAAGTGTGCATCTAAACGTGAACGACGTGGCCGTGGACGATCTTGCGGATCCCACCGTTGCAAAAGTGACCATCAAGGCTCCAAAGACTGATCAATTCAGGAAGGGCGTCGATGTCTATGTTGGGCGGACTCGCAACACGCTATGCTCCGTTGAGTCATTGCTGGCCTACGTAACAAGGAGAGGGACTGGCGAAGGCCCATTGTTCGTGTTCGAAGATGGCCACTTTTTCACAAAGGATAGGTTTGTCAAAGGGGTCAGGGAAGCTCTGTCACAAGCGGGAGTAGACGCCAGTCAATATTCAGGGCACAGCTTCAGGGGTCTGGCACCACTCAATATCAAAATCCTAAAGGTCACACATAAGACCTCTAGGTGTTGGTGTACATAGCTGTGCTTGTACCCTTATGCACTGACGAAAGTGTTTAATGGAGTTTAATATGTTGGGATTAAACGTAGTTAACAATGAGTCTCAGTGGCGCGAGGGTTATTTTCACGTTCAGGCGAAAGAGTCAAGTAGGTGACAGTGTGAGCAGCGGTTTTCCCATCCACTCACCCTATTCCTCCATTGGATTTCTCCCAATGTGATCAGTCAGGAGCTGGGCAGGTAATTCCATGGTAGGAATTTTCTCTGTTAATTAATTCATCAAGGTCATGAATTCAATTAATGCCACACATGCGCACTACGTCAATGCTGCGCAAAGGTGTGGCCGATGCGTGCATGCACTTCGGCTCCTGGCACCACCCAATATCAAACTCACGCAGACATTAATTGCGTCTTGAGCGTGGGCGATTTCCGCGTTCTAACGTGTTCGGACGCAAAACGTTAGTTCAAAGACTTTCAGGACGTACTATATCTGTGCCAAGCCACAATGCCTTTGACTCCCATGATCTACAAAATACCCGCCCAAATCCTTTTTATGCGATGACACTTAAAGCAGTTATACCATGTTGCAGTTTGCTTGCGATTATACCAGGAAGCCAATTTGATACCTCGGGTACTTGGGTGTATAATTTGTATGCCACCATTATAACTAATACTTACACACTGGAGCTCATGCTGAAATATCCATGTCGAATAGTGGCACTTTGTGTACTTTGACGTCGGTATCACAATTACTGCTAGTTGTTTTTCCTTCAGCCGTTAATGGCTAGAGAGACGATTTTAACTTATACATTGTGAAATTTTATATTATTAGTCTTAATATTATACATACCATCACTACTGCAAAGGAGGGTTGAGTACTAATAAGAATTAAATTCAAAGTGCTCATTGCCGTGGCCTTGCTGAAAACGACTAGACGTCTTAACATGGATCCGCAGCATTCAAGGCCCTCCAATGAATCAGTTTGAAAAGTGCTAATCCAACCACAAAGAATCATCCGTACTTGTCACATGCAATGTGTGTGTCTTTATTATTCACCCTCGGTGCACATGCGCAGCGAGGGTTATAGTACTTGGTCTGTGTGTGTCTGCCTGTCTGTCCGTTTGCCAGCAGCTATTTTTGCACTACCGGCTATGAGGTGGCCCATGAGCGATACCAACGTCTTCAGAACTATGTGAAATTGAAAAAGAAAAGGGCGATTTTCCTGAAACTACTGCGTTCGAGAGATATGCCGTGAAAACAAGCGAAAAAGCCAATATGCATATTTGCACAAGCTCACCTTGACCGATCCGCTTGCTCTTTTTACCTTGCGGAGGCACAAGAAGTCACCACGAAGGCCGTGTATCGACTCCTGCATCGGTATGCTATCTTATAGCCTGTGTCAGAGACTCTCCACAACCAACTAGTAAACGCATACTGATAGCCCAGCCCATCAATTAGCAGTGCCATGCATGCGTATTGCGCCGAGGGTTTGCACTCATATATGTTTGTCCTTTTATCACGCATTTTGTGCCTACAGATATTGTTACAATTCTTTAAGTTCTGCTGCACACAAGGCTTATTTAGATGGAAAAGAAAGCAGTGTTGGTTTGAGATATTGACCATCATTAACTGTACTACTGCAGTAGTCAATCCTGTCTTGTCTCATTACTATGTTTTACTATCCCCGTTTTCACGATTTGTTGATAGAATTTCTTTGTTCATGTTTCTACTATTACAAAAGACTTACTGGCTTGAAAATTGCCATACTACTAACAGAGACGATGCGCTCTAACAATTTTAGTCCTGTACTAAGGATTGAACTTCCACGCTGTTTACACGCTATTGTACTGAGCCATACTTTATTTTGTGTGTTTTATTAACACCTGTTTTCTGATGAAGCACATAATTATAGTACAAGTGGCGCAAAGTGTTTCTAAATGTTCACTGTTCAATTGTTCAACAGTGTTCATGATTTTCTGTTTTTACTGTATCACTTTCCACTGTGTTCCCATGCTTTAGTTTACAATTCAAATTTTTAACATGCAGAATGTTATCGGTAGTGCACTGTAGATCTTTTGCACTGATATCTATGAACAGTGCCAACAGTGGATGCCATTTGCCTTCTACTGATATATTCAAGTTTGCCATTCAGTGTTCACTAGAGGCATCAGAGCATCAGAAGTAACATTAAGGGCCAGCGGGTATAGGAACCAGCATTGGTAACCTGCATACCTTTATCTATCACCTAGTTTTGTGCATGCGTGTTTCACATTTTTTTGCCACATGTTCACTGTATGCATGCACTGCAGTAAAAGTTAGCTAAGGCACTCTTGTGCCTTTTTACTAATGGGGTTTTTTACAGAAAATGCTTCTGAATTTTTAGGACACTGATGGCGACACTGCTTTACATTGTGCAGTGTTAGCTCAAAAGAACGAGTCTGTCAATATGCTGCTTGAAGCTGGTGCTGATCCAACCTTGCTGAACTTCAGACTGTTCACACCCATTCATGAAGCAGCAAGGATAGGGTTTCTGTCGTAAGTGTCCATGGTAGATGATGACATGGGGTAGTGTGTTTTCTATTTGCTATATCAGCTTTTACTTCTCAGGCAATTGGCTCTGGGTGTGCCAAGTGAGTAAACAATGCAATTCATGTAGACTAGCTACCGTGCCACCTAGGGTAGCTCTTCAAAAAAGAATTATCCTGCAGTTGACTTGTATGCTTTGCCTCTTCCTTGCTACCTAGTTTTGTCACATGCTTATACTAAGTTTGGAGTTGGGCGTCTTTGGTAGTTTAAATTGCACCGGTCTTCTCCTACATACTTAGTAGTGAGAGTATACTGTACGATAGCACAGTGGCTTGTGGTCTTGCCTTCGTCTTGTGTTGCATTGTTTACTGTAATAACCCCTAGGCAATACATTATAAATGGTGTTACTGTAACTCATAAATGGCAAGAGCTGTGTGAATGAAAATTAGTATACATAAAGTATTCAGTCACTAGTATCTGGAATGCAACAACGCATGTTTGTGAGCAACACAAATAGCCTCTGGCAATAATTACTTCTTCACTCCTCGAACTTGCTAATAGTAGCACACATGGAGATGAAACTTGGTACACATCCATATTACATTGTTTCCAGGACGACCACATTGTTTGAACATCAAATAGCCTCAGGTGCCTTTCTTTAGAATTGTTTCCTGCAGGGTAAAATTTAAACAGGGTGCTTATGAATGCTTCAGCAAGGCTGGACAACTTGACTTAGATCCAGGCTTTAGTGAGTTCTCAAAAGTGATCTGTCAATCAGAGGAATACTATTTCACTTAGTGTTCCACTGACTGATCAGCAGACTTCTTCATATCCCTTTTGGTCACAAAATTTTGAACGTCAACAAAACTCGCACAATTGTGAACTTTGACCCGGTAGGCGGGTGGCATGGCGACATTATTTCGTAAAAACTACCCACGCATCCTCAGAAGTGGTCGGTCGGCACTTAGATGTGGCGATTGGAGCTTTGATGTTCCTTTCATCTACCCTTTTAAAAAAAGCAAAAAGGTCCGGATGTAGTGAGACATGTCATGAATGTCTCAGCGGGTAGTTAGGCAGCCACAGAGGCTGTGTGTAGGTCTTGTAAAACAGCCGGGAAGGATCGCCATAGCACACGTGCACGGCATGAAAGTGGGAAAGTGGGTGAATCGATTTGGGCAGAATGACGCATGCACTCAGAAGAGCTGACCGAAAAAGTCCGATTGAGCACAGAAGTCGAATCTGTGACTGAAAGAGTTAAAGACCCCCCCACGGCACATTGCATTGTCATCATGTGCAGAAACGTGGCTCACAACAGAAAATTCAAAAAGACGCTCTGTATAGAAAGGGTAGCTAGAGAGATGCAGCACCCCTAACTGCAGGCAAGCTAACAGAGTCAAAGAGAGACACTTGTTGGCTCTGCTGGCTAGCTAGCTGTCACACAAAAGTAGGCGGAGTCACTATGCGCTTTTCGCACAGCTAGTGTGCACGTGCGCTGGAGCTATAGCCAGAGCAAGGTAGGTCTCTGTAGTCGACTGTGCTACCTGCTAGAAGAACACCAGAAGCTCCGTCTTCCCGTCCGCACACTTGGCGTCTTTCGAATTGAAGGCGTGGTTGCCATGGCTCTAAATTAGTTCTGAAATCTGATTGGTCAATCAGAGGAATACTATTTCACTTAGTATTCCGCTGACTGATCAGCGCACTACTACATATAGAAATCATCTCTGAGGCACATTCCGCTGTTATCATGCGCAGAAACGTGGCTACAACACAGAAAATTCGAGAAGACGCTCTGGAGAGAAAGTGTAGCTAGTTCGAGAGGCACCACCCCTAACGGATCAAGTGTACAGAACGGACCCAGCACACGATGACTTCCAGAAGCCGCACAAGTGACCGCGCCCCCACGCACAAGTCAGCATCGGAGCCGGACCTCGTCTATGAAGCTTGCCACCCGAATGGACGCTCCAGACCTCATCTAGGGCTAGGACTAGGGCATCGATTGGTGGAACCTGTCGATGCCCTAGCCCTAGCCATTTACTAACACGTGGAGGCCTTTATATTAATCTGGCAAAACCTGTGCACAGTGGCACCTGAGAATTTAGTGATGTGTTCGGACACGCAGCAATACGCCTATCGCAGGGAAGTTGGGCGACCTGCATATATCCCTAGTCTCAGTGCCAGACCCTTTCCTATAATACGCGTTTTACGCATGCGCAGTAAAAGGGAGAAGGGAGGGAAGGAAAGGGTCTGGGGAAAGGCTTACCCTACGGCGGATCCGTAATGGAATGTGGCGGTGGGTGTCAAATATGCATTAGTAACCACAGCCGCTACGATTGCCACCAGATGTGCTTATCATGCAGAAACAGCTGGCCGTGGAGGCCGCCATTGCCTGTTCAGGGCAGAGTAGCAAACTTTGCACACCACATGTGGATCAGCGGCCAAGAACTGATGCAGAGAAATAGCTGCAAACCGCACTTGACCGTCTAAAGACAAGTCGTATAGATTGCGATACATATACTGCACCGGTAATGGCCTTACACGATCTGGAGTCCGTCTTCTTTCCACAGGCTTTGCACTCCATACCTGCAGTACAGCACCTTGCATTAATTACCCTCGGCACGCATGCGCAGCGGGGGTACGGTAGTTGGGTCTGTGTGTCTGTCTGTCTGTTACTCTACATCTCACTTCTCCAGTGTTTGTTCGTCTCACAAAGGATATGACCTACTTAACGGGCAATGATGGTCATTCGAAGTTTTCTCTGAAACTGCTCCATTGCAAAGCTAGAGGGCGAAAAGGCCAATACGTAAATACACAACGGACGGGATGGCTTACCACGGTCTGATCGGTCCGTGTGCTCTGCGTACCTCGGATGCACCAGAAGATGAAATGCAGGGCGTGTATCGCCTCTCGCATGCTATCTAGTAGTGTAGTTAGCCCGCGTCAGACTCTGCGCGAGCTGGCAAGAGACCACGAGTAACAGCTAAAACTAAACCCAGCCCATCAATAGACAAAGTCAACACGCATTACACTAAACAAAAAAAAGAAAAGCCAAAAACCCCCCCAAAAAACAAGAAAACCATACACAATGCACATGAAATACACACATACACACACAAACATAGGAGGAGTTAGATGCTCCCATCCACCCAGGCTGAGTGAAGGGGGCTAGACCACAGGGTGGCATTCCCTTTGCAGAGGATGATAGGAAGGCGCTGGAACAGATGTTTGATAGCAGTGGCAGGAAGAGTACCAAGCCTTTGACCGGCCAGCCGGCAAATTCTGGCTATCTGAGCGATGGAGTCCGGGCTCCAGCCTCCAAGGAACTCAACGATGATGGGAAGGAACGTAACCCCGATTCCACGGCAGTCTGCATTGTGGGCGGCCATCTTCCTTGCTTCGGCAATCTTCAATGCAAAACCGGGCTCGGTAGCAGCCCCTGCCTAAGTGAGGGTAGAAATTACTGTGACGTCCAGGGCGGCAGGGCGTCCCCCACACCAGTTTGGGAGGAAAATATCAACTGGACGAGAAACTGGAGAGAGGGGACCTCTTTCTGTGGAGCTAGAGATGCAGACTGGGATGCAGCGAAGAGGGCATCGCGAAGAGCATCGTGTCGGTGAATGCGGTCACCGTTGCCACAACAGCCCACCTGATGGTCCCCCATAGGGTCAGCCGCTGAGGTTTTTCCACATGCAGAGCAGGGCCTGGGACCCTCAGTCGCCAAGCCAATAGTCAAGGCATAGGCGAAACTCTTGATCGAACAGGCTCAGACCCAGGGCTGGGGAAGGGACCACATTTAGCCAATCCCCTGCATGTGGTAGAGAGGTAGAACGAACATCTGGGGCTGTCTCCACCAGTGTGGAAAAACCAGCTTCGTCGATAGGGTGAGAAGTTATTTCTGACGAAGAGGGATATCAATGTCCTCCAGAAGGTGCCCGGAGGCCATATTAGCAGAGGATGCCAGAGAGGAAATTGCCGACGGTAAGGAACGTGGAGGTTCAAGGGTGTAGCGGAGAATCTGTGAGACTAGGTCAATGGATTCCGCGATTGAGCTAATGTAGGCAGCAGGGGCATGGAGGACAGCAGATCTAAGGTTCAATCCCCCCATAGAGCAAGGAAGGTTGGCCTTAGACCAGGACCAATCAGACAGGGGGCTTCCGGTGATATCTTCCAGTGCCTCCCTTATAGAGTTGTCGAAAAGCGTGGTTGCATTCTGGATCAAGGAAGGAGGGCATGTCCGGAGAGAGTAGTTGAACTTTGGCAAGGACAAACGAGCGCAGAAGAGTAGACTGCAGTTGTGAATCTCCAAGATCCTTTAAACTCTCCAGCGTGCAGCGGATCTTCTCAACTCTGCCAAGAACTATTTGTTCGCGAAAGAAATCCGAGCCAAGTGGGACACCAAGGAGGCAGAAGCCAGAGGAAGAGATAGGAATGTCAGGAGGGAGCTTGTTTTGGTGGTGGTCATCGCCTGGGAGAATATACAAAAGTGATTTAGACCGATTGACATGTAGACCCCTGGAGGACCTTCCTCAATGATCTTCAGGGCAGCTGCAAGGTCATCCATCAATTAGTGGTACAACACATGCGTTTACTTGGTGTGTCACAGTGTGCCAGGGCTTGAACTTCAGTGCTTTTCATTTAGACTAATTAATGCTAAGTGTCTGACCACAATTAAAATAGTTCACATTCCAGGATCAGCGTAGGGTAGGTCTTGTCCCCAGACCCTTTCCTTCCCCTCACTCCCCCTTTTACTGCCATTACATATAACAAAGGGTCTGTGACCAGACTAAAGTATACTGTGCCATAGCACAGTGGTTTGATGTTTGCCTTTGTGTTGTGTTGTAGATTTGCAGCTGAGTTGCCCTGGTAGCCCAGTTGGTAGAGGTCCCACCTAGAAAGCCGAGTGTCATGGGTTTGAATCCCACCTAGGGTAGTTCTTCCTTTAAAAAGCGTTTTCATGGGTGTGGGTTGAATTGTTTGCTTGTGGCTTTATCTTGGTACCTTGTAGTTGTCACATGCTTATTGTTTTCAAAAGCTACTTCAACATCAATGTGGCTCAGTAGGTTGCTTACAGCTGTATTGTTACTAGAGTACAAACCGATGGTGCATGGTTTAAGTTGTGAGACGGACACAAATTTCATGTGCATGCACACTATTCTGTGCCTGTAAGGCCAAGTTAGATATCTCACTTTTTGAGGCATTATTCATTATTCATGCCATGACCGTCAAAAATTTAAAAAAATCGAGGGTCATGGCATGAAACACAAGAGAAAGCACTAGCGCATAAACTGGGTTTTGTTTGTTTAGCTTTCCTGCATATGATTAAGCCCTAATCATGAATGTAAATGTAAGCCATCAGCGAATTATTGAAAAGCGTTATTGTGCAAAGCTTTACCTATCAATTATTAGCTGCTTTCTTCATTTCTTTCTCATTTAGTGCTGTCGATAACTTTATTCGGCGATATCCATCTCATGTGGGCATAAGAAAAGAAGATGGTTATACTCCATTACATCTTGCAGCTCTCAATGATCACTTAGATGTCGTGGCATCTTTCATCGAACATGTAAGGTTTTTATTCTCTTCCAGATGTAAGTAGTCTTTCCTGATGAGTTTACGTGATTTTAAATAGGTTCATATAACAAAACAGCTTTTCATTCCTTTTTTCAGGAGCTGTGTGACATAAATTGTTGTACAAATGAGAACCAGACACCACTTCATCTTGCTGTACATCAATCACACTCGGATGTGGTGGAGAGACTTATTGGATATGGGGCAAATTTAAATATACAAGACTTGAGTGGTGATACCCCATTACACATTGCACTGGTTACTACAAGTGCTGGGATTCTCGCTTCTAATACACCACAGCTCGTAAAGGTATACAAGTAAATAAAAAATTCTGCGAATTAAAAAAGTGTGGAATATAGGGATGCCATAAAAAGCAAGGAGACAAGACAGGGATGACCTAGTGTATGTGATGCATTAGTAGTGGGATGATGGTTACATCTTCAAACTTACATTGCTTGCTCGTGTAAGTCTTCCTCCACACAAGCCCTATATTGTCGCCACTTTTCTCACAACATGAATTTGTTTAGTGTGAGGACAATGGTGAGGCTGAGACACATCGATCCACTCGTGCATAAGAAACGAGTCATAGCTGCACATCATACAATAGAGATCACTCGTGCTAGCAAGAGATTTTAATGACAGTGCATTTAGCCGCCACTCTTTAGTCGAGTCCCCTCTCTCAAGAATAAGGGATTCTCTGGCGGGCCATGAACACAGCATTGTAAAACTCATCGTTTGTTGAGCGAACATAGAAGTCTTAGACTGCACACAATGCAGTCACACCCAAAAACTGAGGAGCTGTCAGAGAGGGCAACACCTGTGCATCACGTGCTTAAGAGATGAGTCATTCTATGAGGGAACACAGTCATGCTTTGCGACAATATAGGGCTTGTGTGGAGGAAGATTTACACGAGCAAGCAATGTAAGTTTGAAGATGTAACCATCATCCATTCTACTACTGCATCACATACACTAGGTCATCCCTGTCTTGTCTCCTTGCTTTTTATGGCATCCCTATATTCCACACTTTTTTAATTCGCAGAATTTTTTATTTACTTGTCTCCTTTCCTTTTTTTACGGCATGCACATGCATTGGGGCATAATGCCCATATAGAAAGTAACATATATTTATTGCCTCGGTCTGTTAGTCATCATCTACATTATTCAAACTAGATAAGTGTACAAAGTTATAGGAAAACAGCACTTAATTGCCTGATGATGTTTGTTGTTGTTTACAAACTTGTAATTCGTGTTTCAATGAACTCTTATCATAGCAAATCAGCATGCCAAGTTTCATTGTTAGAGGACCCACAATAAGCAAGTTACAGGCACAAACATAATTTACAAGTATTTATTGCCTGAGGCTGTTTGTTGTTGTTTACTAACTTGTAATTTATGTTTCGATGAAGTCTCATCGTTGTAAATCATTCTACCAAGTTTTGTTGTTAGAGGACCCACAATATGCAACTTATAGGCACAAACATCATTTTATTGCCTGAGGCTGTTTGTTGTTGTTTACAAACTTGTAACTTCTGTTTCGATCAACTCTCACCATGGTACATCAGTGTACCAAGTTTCATTGTTAGAGGACCCACAATAAGAAAGTTAGAGGCACAAACATGATTTACAGGTATTAATTGCCTGAGGCTGTTTGTTGTTGTTTACTAACTTGTAATTTCTGTTTCAATGAATTCTCATCGTGGTACATCAGTTTACCAACTTTCATTGTTAGAGGACCCACCATAAGCAAGTTATAGGCACAAACACATTTTACAAGATTTTATTCCCTGAGGCTGTTTGTTGTTGTGTACAAACTTGTAATGTTTACATTTTGATACTAATGATGGGTTGTATATGTGTACAAAGTTTTATCACTCTGGGTATTAGCTTTACCCAGTTAGCACACTTTATTTGTCTCTATAATAATGTATTGCCTGGGGCTATTTGTTGTTGTTTACATGTAAACAAAATTGTTTACGAAGAAATAAAAATGTTCTTGCACGACCTGTCATGGATTCCAATCTTTGTGCAAAGTTTGATCTTCATATCTTACCCGGTTTTTGAGATACGCTTGTCTAAACTGAACAACAACAACAACAACAACAACAAGAAGAAGAAGAAGAAAAATTGAAAAGTGACTTTTTTGAATAAATCAAGTACCGATTATGCGATTTAAGCCATTTCTTGGATACATGCTCTTTGTGACAATACAAATTAGTCTGATGTGTCAAAAGTTGGATCTGATTGAAATAGAAAGTGAAACATGAAAATCCCAATGTATGGGCATAATGCAGGACAACCTGTGTCATCCCTATATACTAAGTACTACCGTACTTAGTGATTATGAACACTGCGTGCTATGTGTAATATCATTGGGGTGGCAGACCACTTTGGTAAACCAATAGGGGTTGGGGACAGTAATGTCGCTTGAGGCTATTTTTGCTTATGCGTACAGTATCGCGCATGGCAGAAACATTTTATGTCTGGGTACATCACCCAGTAGGCTATACTGTAACCCCCAGAACGCCACGGCGTCTCTCTCTTTTGTAACCATTGCCGAAATATGCTGCACACAGTTTTCAGTTATGTAGCTGAAACTCTGATCATTCTATGTATGCAAGCTTATTTTATTGCTTGGATGTTATTATGTTCATTTGTGCAATAACTACTGTTAGTGTCACATCTTTCTCTGCTGTTCGCAGGCTGTCTTAGACTAGCAAAGACGCCCGGCCCACAATCTCAACCGTTTTTTTTTGCATCTGTTCCTTCTCCTGCAGGATTCCCAATAGGATTCCCAATAGCTTATCCTCCAGAACTTCTTGGACAAGGACATGACAACAACTTATTAATCAGCACTTATGGTCGGGGTTTTTCCTGCCCAGTCGAGTGATGTGCTTCTTTACTCAAAATCAGCTATAAATTCATTGAGGTCTCCAAACGCCTCTTCAGTATTAGCAACCCTCTGATTTGCTTTATCCACTTGTTCCATTTTATGAGCGATCGCTTGGAGCTCTTCTGGTGTGATCTGTTGCTACCCCAGAACTCAATTTTAGTAAGACACCGTGCCCAGCCCTTACAGGGAGAAAACAGTGTTTCTTTTTCTTACCAATTAACTTGCACAATTTTGGCTCTGAGATGTGCCAGTTTTCTAGTTTTTCTGTCTTTTCGAAAGGGTTCCAGCTGAAAGACCTTTTCTCCCTCCCTAAATGCAGGTTCTTTTGCAGTCGCATATACTGTCTTCTTCCGTTTGTGGGCCTTCATTGAGATGAAAGCTGCCTCGCTGTTGACAGACAGGCATGGAGATCTAGTCCATACTCCTTAAGATTGATAATGACACGAGTCTTGATAAAATAATGTCATGGCGGCTGGAATTTGCGATCGTTGTTGGCCCTTTAGTAACCCAAATGTCAAGGCACCATGTGGACTTAAATTTATTCAACCAAAGTCTCTTCCACCGGTGGCTTAGGTCTGGTCCGGAGTCGCATACACCTCAGGCCACTTGAAAGGTTTTCTGACATGGGCCATCCTTGTGTATGTCAAAATACAGTTCGCTAATCGAATCTGATTAGTCGAAAATATCTTTCATGATTAGTCGAAATATCGTTCAACTTTTCTTTTTTTTCTGTGTCTGCAAGCACAACGTTTATGCTAGTGCTACAGAGAGCCACGAGAATGAGGCTGTCCAAGATTAGTCCATAAGTCTTTGTCTCTTTTTGTCTACGCCAGAATGGCACGTGAAACAGGTGTGGCAGTGGATACCGGATACCACACTTGATCTTCGTTACGAATTACGTCCATCAGTAGATATTACGTTTTGGAGGGGTTAGCGGATCAGAGCGCATTAAAGCGCGGTTCCACTCTTGGTCTAAGGTAATTGAATTCCTGTTACATAAATTTTATATAGTGAGTTTTGACTTCCTATCTGGTACTATGGGTCCACAACACACCTCATTCATTCCCACCCATAATGTTCGATGTCTTCATATACTTTTGTGTCACTGATATGGGCACTAGATCTTTCCACTGGGGTTGCATCATTCTGCGGGAGTTTGCTAGGTATCACCAAGAATGTATAATCATCCTCCACTTGATGGAGGACACTGTCTTCAAAAGTGTGAGGGCAGCAAGAGAGAAATTTCCATCCTGGTCAATTTGCCCAGTTTCACCCCTGTACTTGCCACCGACTCACTGCTTCGATTGTCTTCAGGTAATGAGTACTGTAATAGTGCATCTTAATTGGCATTTGCTTTGCCAGAGCAGTATATAGTAGGTGGTATAAAGTCTAAATCTTTTAAGACCATGCCCCTGCTCACTAGCTTTCCTGAGGATCGAGGGATATTGAAAAGCGACTTTGGAGTGGTAAATATCTGTTCATAGAGATAATTATGTCTTAAATTGTTATACGGCCTAAACAACCGCAAGGCTCTCCAGCTCCTTCACTCTTTTGTTTCTCTGCGGTTTTTTACTTGCAAAGGCAATGAAATGTGTGTTTGAATCTGGCTGTTCTTCAGCAAGTACACCACCCACACAAGAGGCATCGGTTTCCAAAATGAAAATGACTGATGAAGTCTACACATGAGCAGTGAAGAGCTCCTTCAGTGTTTTATACACTCTCTACACTATCTATACAAAGTCGATGTTTTTCTGTCCGTCACTCCTTTCTTTCTCTGCAGTGTTTGACTTGCAAATGGCAATGGGGTGTGTTGTCCAATCTGGCTGTTCTTCAGCACCCGTCCAATCCCGGAGGTATCGGTTTCCAAAATAAAATGACGGTTGAAGTCTGTACAGGAGCAGTCACCAAGACCTTTTTCAATGCTGTCAATGTCCTTTGTGAGAGCCTGGAGTGGTCCACCCCCTGTCGCACAAAAGTCCCAGTTGTAAGAGGAAAGGCCTAGAAATGGTCTATCATCACTTACTCTGAACTGCTGCTACCTTTCTGGGATTAGTTCATACATCTTGTTCTACATAAATCAATTTATGCCAGGTACTCAACTGATAGTTGCCGTTGCCGTAAACAATGCTTTTTCACCTTTAGCATCACTGTCAAATACTCTCTGGAGTCGTTTTGAACACATACAGTAGCATCATAATCTAGAGAACAAGCGTAAGGTAAGGTACATAGGTTTCCAAACAGCCTGAAGCCAGGTGATGGTGATGTGATTAGTATAACTGTCACACTGTAATTAACCCTCGGCACGCATGCGCAGCGAGGGTTACTGTAGTTGGGTCTGTGTGTCTGTCTGTCTGTCTGTTACTCGTCATCTCACTACTCGAGTGTTCGTTCGTCTCACAAAGGATACCACCAACTGAACGGGCAATGAAGGTCAGAAATTTCGAACGGTTTTCCCTGAAAACGCTCCGTTGCAAAGCTAGAGCGTGAAAAAGCCAATATGCAAATACACAATGGCTTACTACGGCATGGTCAATCCGCATGCTCTGCGTACCTCGGAGGCACCAGAAGATGCAACGCAGGGCGTGTATCGCCTCTCCCATGCTATCTAGTAGTGTAGTTAGCCCGCGTCAGACTCTCCACGAGCTGGCAAGAGACCACGAGTAACAGCTAAAACTAAACCCAGCACACCACAGTTATTGCTACGGCGCATGCGTTTACTTACGCGTGCGCATCACAGTGCGCTGAGGGTTTGCACTTCAGTGCTTTTCATTAGTTCCTGTTTGAATGCTGCCTGTCTGTCATGACTAATTATAGTGGTGTATGAAATTAAGGGCTAGCCGAAGCCCTGTATGTGTACCATAACCATTCTCTTTAATGACACTGTGTCTACGAGTACAACCAACTATGATGATGCCCTAAATAGTGAAACGCTAGCGCAAAAAGGCAGGAAGGGCATCTTTACCCAATGGGGCTCTTTTCACTAAGACAGTTTTATAGACCGATTACTGTCAATAAAGTGAACTTGCATAGCAACACATTTGGGTCTTGGTTACAATCAACCTAAGCAAAATGTTGGATACAGGGTCCTAATCCTTTTACATATCTACTTACTATTCCTTTCTCTCTTTGTGCTGTTGCTGTTATTCAGGTACAGGATGAACTTAAAAATGGCCATGAGAATGTTGCTGTAGGAGTAATTACTGCATGTTTCCTAGTACAAGAAGGAGCTGATGTGTACATCCAGAATATAAAAGGACACACTCCTTTGCAACTGTCCCCACCAAACATCATTACTATTGTAATGAAGTATGTAGACAGGTATGTCAATAAAGTTAATGTCTGCAGTGTGTATGTTTATGATGATTATACCAGATGAACTGAGGTAATGTATATTTATCCATGATGCCAAAGTCAGTTATGTGCATAGGTTAGCAAAGAAAGGGAAAAAGTTATTAGTTGAAGGTACAAAAAGACATCCTGTCATCGCTATATTGGGCCAGATTGTATACAGTATGTGACTTCTGCTATCACTGCTTAGATGTTTCATCTAATATGCCATTAACAGAGAGGAGGTTGGCAGCAATTGTAACATTATGCAACGTTGTGCTGCATCAGCAGCCTGCCTTCTGTAGAGAACATGTGGCAGAAACAAAGCCATTAATTGGAATGGGTGTCTATAAGTTTTAGGTCTACTTAAGAAGAGGATACTGATCAGCTGGCGTACCCCTGGTACACCCCTTGTATCCATGGGATACGGAGTGGAACACAAAAACAATCTGTGCAACTGAGTAGATAACTGATCCTTTCTGCAACCTTTTGCGAGATATCGTCCGAATTCCGAGCTACCAAACTTGGCAATAAACTGTTTATTCCTTCACCTGCTAATTGGAATTTTTGCACAATTCACGTGATCGATTCCAACCTCCTCTGCCTTGAAAAATGTTTGTCTTGCATGCCCTGTCATGTCATTGGCAAGCGAAGCAAGCCTACCTAGTCATCTGAATGCAGGGAATGTGACTGTACATGATACCACGAGCCCATCACACAATATGTAAATTGTTGCCTAAGTGAAGCCTCACCATTATGTTGTTCAAACCTCCTCTGAAAATGAACACAACACTATACTGGCTAACATGACCACAGATATCAAACCAATTCTTATGTTTTTGTGCAGAACTTCCAGCTTTCATGGTAGCATGAAATCTCCAACTCCTGGTTGTGGTTTGCTAACCCAGGTTTGTGTACAGTACTAAGTATTAATGCAACTATGAATAAACTTGAAACCAACAAGTTACCGTTTCATCTTCAAAACTCAAGCTACATCTTTGCAAAAAATTCTAGGGAAGAGTCAACACCTCCACACCTAATTGACTCATTTTAGATAGAGACACTGCTGCTGTCTTCTTAGTCGTAAAGTCTGTGTACTAGTTCTTAGGTCAATTTGGGTTGTTGTGGACTCCACCAGCAAATTGCTCAGGCAGAGGCAGCAGCTGACTTCAATTTTAATTTTAGATAAAAGCCTCCCAACAGTCTTCGTTTTTGCCTCTTGAGAGAAACCTGGCTAATACATGTAGATCCAGAGAGGTAATTTGTGTGTCTGTGTGCAAGAATAGGTGAGAAAAACCTCAACAGAAAGTCTAAAGTTAAGGCAAAGGCAAAGCAATAACATCAACTACCCTAGGAAAAAAGAAGAACTGTCCTAGGTCGCATTGGAACCCATTACACTGCTGTCTAGGAAAATGCTCTACCAATGGAGCTATCAGGGCAACCCAGCCTGTAGGAGTTCAAATCTTCAACCCAACACAACCCAAGACAAAGGGTAAACCTTAAACCACTGTGGTATGGCACAGTATACACTCACTCAGAGCGAACTGGGGTAGTTAAACCATCCAAAAATGCACAACCCCAAACTGAGTTTATGCATGTGTCAGAAACAATGTGACTTTGAAAGGCATGTCTCATCAACTTGGTAACGAGGTAGAAAGGCAAAGCAAGGCAAGGCAAGGCAAGGCAAACAAGTCAACTATGGCTTTCATTTTTAGTGTCCCCCTCGGTAATAATCATTAAAGCAATTAATGTGACGTCTAACTCTTGCTAGTTAAAAATGGAACAAGAGGGGTGTGAGTTCAAGGCAAAGCTGAAGAACAAGATTGGAAAGAGACTTGCATTCCTCACGGACTGCTCGGTGTGGAAAAGGGTGTTTATTCTGTCATCCTCTCTAGAAGTCAACTCTCTCAAAATGGTTTTAGACCAGCTTCTTGAAATTTACTGATCTCAAAAATAGGCTGCTACTGTTGAGAATGGGCTTGACACATGGACAATTATACTGCACGGCAGAAAATAGCAGGGGTGATAGTTGAGGCAAAGAGTTTAACAGGTAAGAGTTTTCTGTGTCAGCGCTTACATTACTTACATTGCTCATGTTGCCCAGAGAGATCATGTTAGGTGAGTCCAAGCTTCCAATGAGTGAGAGTTCCGTGCCAGCGCAGTACATTACTCATGTTACCCAGAGAGATCATGTTTGGTGAGGCCAAGCTTCCAATGAGTGAGAGTTCCGTCCGTGCCAGTGCGTACATTACTCATGTTACCCAGAGAGATCATGTTTGGTGAGGCCAAGCTTCCAATGAGTGAGAGTTCCGTCCGTGCCAGTGCGTACATTACTCATGTTACCCAGGGAGATCATGTTTGGTGAGGCAAAACTTCCAATGTCTGATAGCTAAGAGCCTTGTAGCCAACAAAGATAGAGCACGAGAGAAGGATTAAGATCATGTTGTCTGAGCCTTTAATTCTCACTCAAGACACATAGGGGAAGGGGATTATTGTGTGCTTTGGTGGCTCTTCGTTGTTTCTTTCTCCTCTCTTTAGACGTAATTCCATGTTTTGCCCTTGAAACTCTGTACTTTGTTTTTGCAATTCACCCCCTTGGCAATTGTCCTGGAATGATGGAAGAGGCTAGAGGTTACCGCACGTTTGACATGCTCTGAATGGTGCGATGAGTATTTTAGATAGCAATTTGTCACAAGCCAAACCTCCACCATGAATTGTAACGGGTGAATGTGCACACATAGGTGGACTTTTTTGCGGGTGGGAGGCAATATATTGAATATGCATAACTGTGTTAATTCTTCCTGATAAAAAGTTTCATGTTGTGTTATCTACTAGTGTAACATTCCTTGCAGGCAGACTACAAATTGATCTATTCAGCACTCCTTGCTTATCTAGGCACACAGACTTTCCCCACAAATTTGGTCCTCCAAAAGCCTCTGAACCACATGTATTAACCTATTAAATACGCCACCTATGTTTTTGGTATTATGCTAATGCTCTTTTTATTGTGCATAGGATCAAAAGACTACTCCTTTTTTGACAGAGCAAATGAGTAAGCCATTCTGTGTGATTTACAATTAATTGTTGTGACTCAAGTGTTAATCTATACGGTTGATTGACTGTAGGATGATATGCCTTTGTTTGTCACCTTCAATCGTATATGTAGTCAATTTGTGAATTTTGCGACAATGCAACTAGTATGCCAGTGGTAAAACATGACAGTGCAATAGCTATTCTAAAGTAAAGCCACCAGCATCTGGTAACCTCAGGTACAGAGTGCAGGGGTTGTGTGTCAAAACTCTAGTGTATTGAACTTTAGCTTGCAGTCCAACTGGCCACACAAAAGAAGTGGCCATGTATGCACTTGGCACATTACAAACCATTTTTACTCTGTCAAAACAATGGATCTTAAAAAGCTTTCAGAAGGGGCTATGTAAATTGAATGACTGTTTCAGAAACTTGTGGTATCCGACGCTCTGTATCAAAATGGCACAGGTTAAATCTCATGTGATCAGCATACAAACAGCCTCAAAACTTGGCGAGAATGACTCCACTGTATCTTCAAAACCCACTAACAATAATCTACGGGTCTATAATTTATATAGCTATGCATATGCCTGATTTTATACCTGTTTCCAGTGCCTTACACAAGACTTCGGTCACGCACGATTTCACTACTCTAGGTGTCATTATTAGTTTTCATCATCATCTTCTTCTTTGGTATACCTGCTATCTGATTACCGGAACCAGTTGTAGTGCTAATTTTTTTCAACTAAACATCTCCAGATTCGATAGGGGTGTGCACGGCCACCAAGCGATCGTCTTTTCGTGTCGCAAGTAACAATTGTAGATGTAGAGTTCTTTTATTGTAGACACAGAACAACGCCATTTGCAGCTATCTTAGTGGTGAGAAGCCCCAGCTAAAAAAGGCGTTCTTATGTGCCCAGTGCCGCGAACGTATGATGATGTCTTCTGTGGTCTATGCGATGTACAACATGCTAACCTGTGTTGCTACCGGGAGCAACTTCACAGCTATTACAAACCGTGCCGGACACTCAAGGCATAGCTTGTGCATTTTCTCTCCCCTAGAGATATACGAAGGAGGTAAAGAATATGCTAATGAGCTTGTAAAACAAAAGCCTCTAAAGTCTGAGAAAAAAAACAACAAATTGCGAGTGTTTTAGCCATGCTTTCGAAAAAAATGTTGGAAATAGTCACCAAAAGAACTCGTACGGAACTGACATAATACTTCATTCAGGAAACAATATTGGGATTGTGTGATGAGGTTAGTCTTGTTACCAGACCCTCACATGCTCCCACGCAAAAGAGGCTCTTGTCCGATTCTTGGTTGTGATGAATCAGTGTGTATGTGAATTGTATAATTCAACCTGTCGGTCATGTAATCACCTGGTTAGCGCTCCCATTCTGTTGCACTGTGCATGCGGAGAACCGGTCGGCATTGCAGACCGCCTTCATGCCACATGATAGTTTTCAATCCGGCAATCTGATTGGGTTACCTGTTTTCCGAAGGTGCTGACTCAGCACAACAAAGAAATCCAACCTTATATACCAGACCCTCTTTCGCGCGGGAGCACGTGAGGGTCTGGCACGGGACTATCATGGGGTTTGGTGGGAGTGTCAGCGTGCTCAAATCAGCGTGTAATGACCCCTTTTTTTCATTTTTGCTGCTTCAAGCCATCCCTATACCCCTATATTTTGAAGAAATGATTTTTCCACTTGTTAAAAACAACCTTTGCACATGTGCAGCAGGGGTTGTTGTTGCTGTTATGTATATCTGTTGATCTGTTTGATACTCTGCTAGATATGGAACATAGTACTATGTGGCATTACTGGAAACACTATGCTACTTTATGCGAATTTCATTCAACTTCAGGTGATAAGAAAGTTTGCTTTCTTTGTGAGGCTTCTGTAGATGTCAAGTTTGAGCCCTGTGGTCATGCATTAATGTGCCGCAATTGTGCTGACAGAGCAAAGAAATGTCCATTGTGCAAGGTCTGTTCTTTGTGTGTACATTATTATGGCCAAGAGTTCTAACATTAGGATTTTTCACCACCTGCTTTAGAAGTTGAAAATGAAATGCACATAAGGCTACCACATCATTCATGAGAAGATGCCCACAGTGTGAGCGTGGGAACATTTGATTTTGTCATATTGTTGTGTCAGGGTCACCTTTTGGTGTTTTTATTGTATGTTATCTAGGTTTAAAACTACGCTAGTCACATAAAAAACCATAAATTACTCATAATACGGAAATCAGTGCTGTGCATGTGCGCCTCATACTGTATGACGGTATCGACTTAACCTCATCACACTTAGCTGACAAACTGTGTATGCATCAACGACTCTCAAGGTCGAGTGCATTATAACACTGAGAGCAATATTCATCCGAGTACACCACAGTAACACGCAAGAGTGATTTTTTCGTTGGTAGATTTTCTGACTCTGTTACTCTTTTAGCTTCTAAAACCATCACAGTGTTCTGCGTAGAACATGGGGCAATATCTCTTTATTACACCACTGATACTATCTCATTGGTCAGTCACCAGAAATAAAACCTTGTATATAATTTAAATGGGGGGCCCTATTTTTTGCCGTTGGCACATTTGCAACAATACTTGGTTTGGTTTTTGTCACTTTTGCCTGTAACAACAAGCAATTGTATTCTGTTTTTCATCATGCTTGACTGTTTGTGTTTAACCGTTAGAAGCCGGTGAAAACAGTCTACAAATTGAAGGAGATGTGTATTATGTGCCATGAAGAAGAGGGCTCAGTTACAGTAAAGCCATGTGGACACATATATTGTCAAGGTATGATAAAGCTAGTTAGGTAGCTATTAAAAATTATACATATCAAAATGATATGCTACTTTTTCAGAGTGCTGCAAAAGGCTTAAAGTGTGCTTTGAATGCCGGTCTCCCATAGCAAGAAAAGAAGGCCTTGGTAACACACACATTTCTTAATGTGTAAACATGTTGTTGGTATTATTGCAGTGACTATACAACTGTAGTAAATACGCACCTAACAAACTTCATGTTGACTGTGAGCAGGTTCCCCTTTGAAAACACTAGCATTCACTTTTTATTTGTTTTCCTCAACCAGATACGCAGCTTTGCGTACCTTAGAGGCACCAGAATTACAATCAATGTCGAGTATGGAGTCCTGCATGTTATTTAGTAGTGTAGCTAGACAGTTTCACTCTCAAAGGAGGTTGAGTGGAGCCCAGCCCTTCAATTAGCGGTACAGGCCCGCTTATGCGTATGGGTGTCAACACACGGGTGCACATTGCGTCGAGAAGGTCATGTAGCACGAGCACGCACCCACGCCAAATAATTTCCATGGAGTACTCGCTGGTACTTAAGCTAGTACTAGTATTACTCTCTTTCACACAGAACCTGAACATAAAGATTCTGCAGCGCAATCCTCTTCACCTAATAAGGAAACTCAACCATCTTGTGCAATATGTCTCACAGAACCAAGGAACACAGCACTTCAATGTGGCCATCTGCTGTGTTGGGAATGTGCACAAAAAGTAGATAATTGCCCCGTATGCAGAAAATTTGTTAGCCATAGAATCCGGCTCTTTCAATGATAAAATATTGTTTTTATAATGTTTAGTACTGACACGTCTGAGATGAAAAACTGTCACAGCAACTTATTATTTCACGTAGACTGTTAATCTATTGCATGAGGCTTGGGGAATAAACAGTGCCAAAGTATGTCATCAAAAAGCCATTGACAGTATATACTGTTTTTGTGTCCAACTCATGTCAAAAGCAAATTTTAAGGTCAAGCATGTGTGAATGACTAGGTAATCAAGAGGCAAAGCAAATAAATTAGTTACACCCCGGACATCTCTTATCTTTCAAGGAAAAGAAGATTTGCCCTAGGTGGGATTCGAACCCACGACACTAGCGAGCATTCTACCACTGGTAGGGGTTCGAATCTACAACACAACACCCTGACCCCAATATGTTATAACCTGGTTTTTGCCATGCTAGAGCTCTATTTTGGATTTAGCAATTCCATAACTAGTTATCAAACTGGTTACCACACTGTCTCAACTGCCTAGAAGCCTGCTGTAACTGGTTATCACTCACTGTTGTACCTGGCTATAATTTATGGCCCTTCCGTAAGTGTTTTGACAATGGCAATGCTGTAACTGGTTACAACTCGATGCCTCATATTGTGCACCAGGCTGTAACTGGTTACCACTAGGTTGTAACTGCTTAGAGCCCTACTGTAACTGGTTCTCACTCTGTTGTACCTGGCAATGGCCCTTCTTTAACTGCTTATGGCCATGCTGTAACTGGTTACCACTTCTACTAGCAGCCAGTTGAGACAGAGTGGTAACCAGGTACAGCATACTCTGTGTTGTTGGTTGTGGTTGTGTCATAAGCATCCAAATCTTTTATTTAGTCTCCAGACCCACCTCTTAAGTGCTTTTCTAACGACCAACCAACCACGTTCCACGTATCTCTTAATACGCGCAAAAACTGGCAAAAACACCTGCGTAAAATCAAACTCGCACGTGCCCTAGGGCTAGACTAACCTATACAGATAATAATAGCCGAATAAAACGTGCATAATCCCACTTTGCACTTTTAATTCTCACTGTAAGCACGTGATGTGTGGAGTGTGTTTTCGCATGTCATAAAGTTCAGTCTGGCTCTCAAACGTGTTGGCCATAATTGGTGACCACGACGTACGACGTGCATGTGTCTGTGGCCTCCGACGAACCGCGAGTCTCTGAAACTCCTGCCATTCTGGCCATCCGACCTGGAGGTCTGGTTTGCGCATAGATGGAGAAGAGTTCTCTCGCTAGCTAGATCAATCGGCGCATATCGCGAAGTGAAAATGTGTAAAAATTTGGCTGTGATTGTGAAGACATGTGCTTGTCTCTGCTGAGCAATGAAGGACGGGAGCCTCATCGATGTTGGGATATGACTGTGCAGCCTGCATGCGTAATGTATATTTTGGCGAGCGGGAGCGCCAAGTGGACGCACAATTCAGCACCCGCGGTATCACAGTTCAGAAACTAAGTTCGACCACGTCAATGCCTCCTTATCCCCCAAATACGCCTCCGAGGTACGCGACATCATTTTGAGTCTTGGCAGCACGACCGACTCTGTGAACAGCTCATCCAGCGCACAGGGATATCCACGCAGCACCGATTCCAACAGCCCACCCTGACGTCCAGGGAGCTAGGAGACAGAAAACTCTCACAGTTGCGAAGGAGGATGCAGCAGCTGCTAGACGATAGAGCGACAGACACCGATGATGCCCTTGTGCGGGAGCTATTTCTCCCGGCTAACGTACGTTTGGTACTCACCTCTGCCCTGGACTCCACCCCCCTACACGAACTGGCTCGGCTTGCCGACCGTACCGTCGATGCCGCACCACCGCTAACAGGCCGTCAGCTTTCCCACTTCTTCTAGTCTTCATTTTCCTCAGAGCACTTTCGATTTCCTCGCTATAGTCATTGGAGAGTCGAGGAGAAAGTCCTCAAACCCGTGAGACATAGACATAGTTTCCATTTGTGCCACTTCACCTGATTCGGACTCAGGGGTCTGACTCTGTGCCAGGGTTGCAAAGTGGGTTCTCCAGCAGGTCAGAAGTCCATCATCATCTGTGATAGGTGTTCCATCCAGCGGGAGCTTTTTGCACTCCATCCTTTTCCGGTGTAAATTGAAACGTCGCTCGTCCTTGAACCTGAAAATATCATCATGAAGCTTGATGTATGATGGACACCACAGACGCTATTTCCCCATCTACTTCATGCAGTAATGCTCACAGGTGGACGCTAAAAAAATGAGATCAGCCGATTTTGTGGAAGTTGTCGATACTGCCGTTTGGGTGGACCTTTTCCAGTTCAGTTTTCAATTGATGTTCTCTGGTTGTGATATTTTTCAGGTTGCCAGTCAAGTTTCACTTTGACAGCCAAGTGATCTGAGGATGGCGTGGCAGAACCCCACATCCCAATACCAAATGAGCAGAAGTCAACTGTTGTGTTCCTACCACCACTGCCATAGAAGGTATGTGTAGGACCTGTGACCAGGTCGCACAATGAGACGGCATAGTGCCCAGTGCAGTCGATCAAGTCTCGAAGGAGATGTCCCTGAGCATTAGTTTGGCATTGAACACGATTGGCCGATGTGGGCATTGAAGTCGCCGATTATGACAACAGGACCACTCTTTTGTAGGGCGTATACCACATTCTCCAGCGGTACCACGTGTGTGCAGTTCGCGCAGGGTTTGCACTTTAGTGCTTTTTCATTTGCATGGTAGATGGTAGTGGGAGTATATACATCTCAGTTCCTTAGCTGCTCCCTAATAGGTATAGAATACGTAGTAGAGTATTTGTTTTGAAGGTGAGTGGTCAAATCTAGTACACTTCAGTCCTACAGTGTGTGTGTTTAGCCGTAGTAAGGATGGGAAAATGGTGTTGCCTAGGGCTGTGGAACCACCCTAACAGCTCTATACCACTTATGTTCATAGGGATGGGGAAGAGAAGGTTACGTCGAAGAACCGCGAAAGAAAGAAGTCTGGCCTGAAAGTCAAAAATCGTAAGCTTCCGAAAAGTTCAGAGGAGAACGATTCGCAATGTCTCTGGTCTAGAACTCCACTTCGCTGTGGCAAGTTCACGGGCTCTTGTGGCAGGACGAGATGGTATACTAAAGCTTTTATCCTTGAGAGAACAAGTTCCACCGCCGCCTGGAAGAGCTTTGTAGCAGCGTCCTGGCCGCCCGTGTTAGGCTGCATAAGCGAAACCAACGCAAGAGCGAAACGAGATTGGAATGCGCAATTAAGGCCGTACGGCGCAATTAAGGTTGCACGGCCATCCGGTATCGCCATCCGGTATCGGAACGGAACCGCATGCGGAAGTTCCTTATCCGGAGCCTCGTTTCGCATTTGCGTTAGGTGCGTTGGTTAACGCATAAGCGAAACGGATGTCAATCTAAGCAAAAATAAGCTAATGTTACCTGAATCCTGGGACTAAAGGAGGAAGAAACGTCTCTCAGACCATCCTCACACTTGTACTTTAGCAGCAATGCGTTGCCTTGACCGTTCTGCATAGCGAAAGTTAGTCTTGCTTGCTATAGATCCCATCTCTTGGTGCACGGCTCAGCCATGTGCACCATGACGTAAGGAGGGTGAGGATTATGCAAGCTAGACTAAGTAAGCATTGCAAAGTTATGGCCAACATTTAGGTACTTTTTATCTCTTTCACCATGTAACCTTCTTCAAAACATACCCATGCCATACTCCAGTGATAATACTCATGAATGTCATTATTATTGTACCATTCCACATAATTATAACTTCTATCAAAATGAAAAGCACTGAAGTGCAAACCCTCGGCGCATTGTGACGCGCACGCGTGGGTAAGCGCATGCGCTGTATCACTAATTGATGGGCTGGGTTTAGTTCTGGCTGGTCTCTAGCCAGAGTCTGACGCGGGCTAACTCACTACTAGACAGCATGCGAGAGGCGATACACGCCCTGCGTTGCATCTTCTGGTGCCTCCGAGGTCGCAGAGCACGCGGATCGATCAGACCGCGCGGGTACTCAGGTAAGCCGTTGCGTATTTGCATATTGGCTTTTTCGTGCTCTAGCTTTGCAACGGAGCATTTTCAGAGAAAACTGCCTTTAATTTCTGACCTTCGTCGCCCGTTGGGTAGATGGTATCGTTTCTGGGACGAACAGACGTTCCAGGAGTGAGATATAGAATAACAGACAAACAAACAGACAGACAGACCCAAGTACTGTACCATCGCTGCGCATGCGCGCCGAGGGTAATAATCTTCTAACCATGTCTTCATTATCCGTCGCTTTTCTCTCTGAGCAGCAGCTCTAAAGAGACTCATTAGAGACTTCCCTGGCTGTTCCCTTCCCAATTTTACAATACTGTCTCCTTTGTCTCCTTAGTCTCTTTGTTACACAAGATGAAGTATATACGTCTAATATCTTGTCATCAACGGTGTAGCACAGGGGAGCGCAGTTAGGTGCGCGCGCCGCACTTACTCGCGCACAGCTAGTTAGTTTAGCTAGGTGCGCGCGCCGCACTTACTCGCGCACAGCTAGTTAGTTTAGCTAGGTGCGCGCGCCGCACTTTAAGAGGCGTGTCGTTTCGCTCTTGCGTTGGTTTCGCTTTTGCAGCCTAACTATAATATAACACGCCCTGCGCCGTCACGAGCCAAATAGCGCACGACACTTATGACCTTTCACCCCAACCGCGACTATAGCCAATCCTATAGCAGCGCTGTGAGCAACGCGAAGTGTGGCGCGCCGGAACGTAAGTTCTATATAGTGCCGTCATCACGACCTCGAGTTGAGACTAGATAAAACAGGGAAGACGGAGTGTCTGCGATGGCCGCCAAGAGTCTGCCAAAGCATGTTGTGCTCTGTCCTGTTGCTCTTGAACAACAAAGCATACCACAGTACGAAATATTAGGGGTCTGCAGAAGTGTTTCGGATTACGAAAAGTTAAACCGTGTTGGTGAAGGCACGTATGGGATTGTATATTGTGCTAGGGATCTGAGGAGTGGTGAAGTAGTGGCGCTGAAAAAGATACGAATGGACAGAGAGAAGGAAGGGCTACCTATATGTAGTGTAAGGGAGATCGGTCTCCTCATGAAGCTCAAACATAGGTGAGCAGAAAGTGGTGTAGTAAAAGAGGAAGAGCGGTAAATAGTGTGAATGGCCATGTATATTTAGGTGCATGCGTGAAGGGAGGGGGAAGATACTTCTAGGCTTACGCAAACTAACCTAACTAGCTGTGTGTGGAGGATAAGGCAGGTTTCATGTTTTGGTGTGGACTGCGAAGTGCATGTGCTTAGTTGCCGAGAAATAGGGGTAAAGCTGTAATGCTCAATATATTATAATTCAACAATACTCAGGATTTTTTGCATGTTTTACATGTACCAAATGCACTTGTCATGCCGATAAAGCAGAAAAGATCAGTATAGTAACATTACTAAACAAAAGTTTAATTTTTTTCAAATAATGAAAAGCACTAAAGTGCAAACCCTCGGCGAACTGCTCATGCACGGTACCACTAATGGTGGGCTGGGCTATTGGCGTTTATTCGCAGTCTCCCGCTAGTATATAGCTCGGGGAGAGTCTGACACGGGCTAGCTACAGTAGTAGATAGCATGCGGGAGTCGATACACACCCTTCTTGTGCCTCCAGAGCAAGTGGATCAGGTCGAGGTTACTGCGTTGATCGCGTTTAATATATGAATTGCTTATTGATGGGTTGGGCCACACAACGCGGTCCGCGACCGTGCCAGTTTGTTGCTCTCGAACGCAGTCGTTTCAGCAAAGTCGCCATTTTATTTTTCTAGCCCATATACCGCTAAAGCTGTTGGCATCGCTCATAAGCCGCCTCGTAGCCTGTAGTGCGAGAATAGTCGTAGACAGACAGAGAGGCACACAGAACGACTACCGTAACCCTCGCTGCGCATGCGGGCCGAGGGTTAATAATGATGGTGGGGCAGTGACAGTTACCATGAGTGCTACTGAAAGGAGCCAAATGCCGTAATACAATAACTGATCCTTTGGATGCCATGGGAATCTGCATAAAGAAGCAGAAATTGATGTATAAAGTATTAGCACCTAGTAGTATAACCCCCATATTAATTCTTATGGACTTATGGAGGCTCTGGACACATTTAAGTGTCTGTTGTGTTAAAAGATGAGACAGTACAGGGAGACTTTACTACTGCGGGTAAGTTATTCCATGCTGAAATTACACTTGGAATGTAAGATGTCCGATAATAGTCTGTCCGGGTACGAGGTCTGCAGAAGTGGAATTGGAAAGTACGTCTTGAGCTATATTATGTAGGCTGAGAAATGAAAATGCCTTGTGGGAAATACAAGTGTCCATTGATGTTAAACATCGTGACAAGTTTGAGATATCTGCGTCTGGCATGTAGGTTCAGCAGTTGCAACATGTCATTAGCTCATGTCCCATATCATTAGACAAGCTTTGCAGGCAAATTTTTGAACAGACTCAAGAGCTTCGATATCTTTCTTGTTGCATGGATCCCATAGCTGAGCAGCATACTCTAAATGTGGTCGAATGCATGTCAGATACACAGTACGAAGGGCGAGGGTATCGGCCCAGGAATAGAATTGTCTGTACGGCATACCCGCACTTTTAGACATGGGTGTTGGATATGTTCAGACCATGAGATGCATTGGTTCAGTATGACTCCCAGGTAGAAGTAGCTCTGAACTCGTTCAATTTGGCAACTACTGATGGATATTTCTTGAGGAGGGAGAAGAGGCTGTCTTTTTCTTGACCCCAGAATATACTTGCACTTCAATGCATTTTGAGGTAGATGCAATTCCTCGATGTGGTTAGTGATTGTTGTGATGTCCTGTCGCAACGATATGTAATCGTTTGCATCCTTGATCGGCTTGATAAGAAGGAGTTCATCTGCATACAATGTCATTTGAGCACCATTGCACAGAGGAAGCTGGCTGATGGAACTGATGTATGATAAAAACAGCAAACGTCCAAGTATTGACCCTTGTGGGACACCAGACTCAACTAAGGTGTCGGTTGATGATTCTTCCTGAACAACAACATACTTTAGGAGGTAGAATGCAACGCACTGTACAATGTAAGGATTCAGACCAGTGTCTTTTAGGTGGTTAAGTAGTGGTGCATGCGGAACACTGGTCAAAGGCCTAGGAATAAGAGCATTACGTCAAAACCCTGTTCCATATACTGATACACTGAGTTTAATGTCGATAGCAGAGCGGTGACAGTTGATTTCCCTTGAGTAAAACCCCACTGATTGTCTGCCTGTGACCTCCAGATGCTGCCACACGAGGTTATAGGCATGTCTTCCTAGAACTTTGCTTACGTTGAGTAGAAGTGAAATAGGTCTGTAACACTTTGGGTCACTTGTTTGCTTTGCACATTTTGGAATGGGCACAATGGATGATCTATTCAATTCCGTTGGGATATCACTTGATCTCAAGGAGGAGTTGAATATGTTTTTTAGAGTAGGAGCAATCAACTCTGCTGTACCATATGGCATATGGCCCGATATGCCATCAGGACCAGATGCCTTACGGGTGTTTATTCCTTTCAAGAACCTGATCAATTCCTCAGTTGTACACAGAATGTCTGTGCCTGGAAGGTCGGAAATGTCGAGGGTGGGCGGTAAAGCTGAGGGAGGGTCTACGCCAGAGTTAAAATTTGTGCAAGAACATATGATCATGGTTCCCAAAGAGCTCTTTGAAGATGGAATGTTTCAGATTTTTGGATTTGTCTGACTGTCTTCCAGAACTCCTTACTCCCTTTTGTAACCTCACGGTATTTTTTTAATTTGTTTTCCGCAATAGGTAACTACCTCGTTCCTTAATTGTTTTTGTATTGGAGAAGGGAGTTGGAGTTTCTGGAGCTTACTGCTCTCTTATAGACACAATTTCGTTTGTTTATTTTTGCTCGGATAAATTTTTCAACCAGGGGAGACTACGTGGGATTGCCATAATGGTCGCTTTGGGTATACACATTTCCATGATTTCCATAAACCTCTTGTGCCACAGACTACATGCTTTCTCATTTTCTGATTCTCCGTAAATATAACTCCAGTCTTTGTGTTGGCTTACTTGCATTGTATACAGAGACCAAGAAGAGCTCTAATCCATTGTTCCCAGACAGTAGCACTTGTGACTCTAGTGTGTCAGATATATACATGGCTTCTCCTCCACCACGACGATGTCTGTCATGTCGTATACAATGGTACCCTTGTATAGAACACTCCATCAATGCAATTTCATCACAGAGCCATGTTTGTACAATATCAGGCTTCTCAAGGGCACAGTAGACACGTAATTCTATCTTTGGGTAAAGACTTCTCGCATTGTAGCGAATTATGCACAAATCTCTTCTAGAGCTTTCGCCCTTCACGGGATGTTTACAGGGGTTTATTGGCTTAAAAAAGAGGAGAAGAAGGGGAAGGTGTATAGGTAGGCTGACCATTAGGTTGGCTCGTGGAGCAGGGATGGGGGGAGGAAGCAGAAGACGGTGTAGGAGATGGTGTAGGAGGAGGATACTGCCCGTTAGATTCGCTGGATTTGTGGCAAGGCTCTTGCTCTAGGGGATTCCGGGTTTGTGATTCCTCTGTTGCACCTTTTTTTGTTGACATTTTGACATTTTGACATGAAACAGTTGAGCAGGGGTGTCAATCTGGCGCTATGGTGCTAACATCAGCGCCAAGCGCCAGTTTAAAAGTGGCAGGCAGAGAAAATGAAGCGCCGGTCCCTAGCACGCCTAAGCTTGCCTATGCGTCTCTGCGCAATACTCGCGAAGGTGGAATTACGTTGTTAGCTGAATTTTGAACCGGTCACTAGGATGCCATGGCATCACTTGAATCGGTAGCGTGCGTGAGAGAATTCTGTTCTGCACGATGAACTTCATCAAAAATGAAAAGCACTAAAGTGCAAAACCCTCGGCGGCGTGGAACCACGCATGGGGGTTGGGCTATGTGTCATGTGTGGTTCCACGCTGCCGAGGGTTTTGCACTTTAGTGCTTTTCATTAGCTAAAATCAGCACTAAACATCTTTTGAAGTACATCAGGACTGACTTTGGCATATTTAGATTTTTTACTCTGGACAACACTCTTTCTATACATCATACGGTGGCAACACATACACACATACACACCTAATCAGGGCCACTTTCGATCTCTGAGTGCAATACAGTTTTCAACAGACAAACCTCACTTTCGCCTACTTCTGTTATATTCTTTAATGGTTTCTTTCCTACGTGAACTTTCGTCCGGTGTTTCTGCGGCCCTCACACTTGCCATGTGGATTTTACTTCGCTCTAGCCTGTGCAACGTCTGCTCAATTGTTTCAGAGGCGCTTGTGGTTTCTTTATGCTGTCTGTCACGCTCACGCCTGTGCAACGTCTGCCAATTGTTTCAGAGGCTATTGTGGTTTCTTTATGTTGTCTGTCACGTTCATGCCTGTGCAACGTCTGCTCAATTGTTTCAGAGGCACTTGTGGTTTCTTTACGCAATCTATCACTTCTTCGCCGGGCTGAAATTTGGTCGTGTGTTTCAGCTGCCCTTGTGCTCTGTTTACGTAGTCTGTCTTGCTCTGTTCTCGCAAATTTCTCTTGTTCAGTCTCTACGTTTCATCGCTTCCTTTTTGGCAATACACTGCGCTCTTCTTTTTGACGGAAAGGTATGCCCACATACGCAAACTGCCCGTCTAGCATGTACTGTTGTGTCACACTGCGGACATACCTTCTTCGGGCGTCTATCGCTCTCTATCGGTCAGCCCCCTCTGCATACAACGCACGGAATGTACGAGTACGGATTGCCAGCTCAAAAAAGTATTTTCACCAGAAACGACCAGAAGTTTGCTCGGGTGCTGTCCTCACAAAAAAATGAAACCCCGGCTGCTCAACAGTGCTATTTACGGCAAGAAACACGTGATCATTGTGCGCAAACCGCCAGTGTAACACACGCATGCGTTTATTTCTCGCTTCCTAGAGGTAAGCGAATAATAATTAGCATATTGGCTTGTTAACTCGCCGTAACTGTCTAACGCACTGCTTTTACGAAAATCGCCACATTCAAAATCAAGCCGGTATAGCGCTGAACCTTTTGGTATCGCTCTTTCATTGTCTCGTTGCGCGTGGTTGCAGAAAACGTGGTAACAGACAGACAGACAGACAGTATTGCAACAGCCATACGCAAAATAAATTGAATGCGTGTATGGCCTTAGCTATGTACTTGCGTGATATTCAGAATTTCCCTTAGTTGTAAATTGTAACGCAATTACATTGGCAATTGGGTTTAGCGCCAAGGCTGTCTCTGGCGCCATGTTTTTGGCACCAGAGATTTTGCAGGTTGACACCCCTGGCGAGCTTCCAGGCTGTTTGGTTGAAAATCCCCTCCCATCTTTCTTCTAGTTTCGTCAGAGTCATCTTCTCACCTCGGATGATAAACCACCACTGTGTTGTCCGTCCCGAGTCATTGGTCTTATACTTTCTGCTAAGTTGGATTTTGCCAGTGACGTCGGGGAAAATTCGTACAACTGTCGCAGCCACAGCACATGCGAGCATGCTTTCATGATTCCCCACACTTTCCTCACCCCGGGAAGGCACTCTCTTTCCGTACGCTTCGATCTTCCGCGATTTTCCTGCGAAATTTCGCATCTGAGTAGATGTTGGAGGATCTTGACAAACTTTCAGGGAAGGTTCAATGGAGCATTGAGAGGGTAGAAACTTTTTCTCGCGTCGTTTCATTAGTACAGTTTACCATTTGTTGCTTTTCTGCTTTCGCCCTGGAGTAGAAGGCGGATCAGGCGTTTCCTTCGAGGACGGCTCCAGTACGACCTCATTCAGCACAGACTTTAACTGCTCTAGCTCAAGCTTCAAGTCGGTCACAGCGCCACACAGTTCTTTTATTTGCTGCTGACTGTACTCTTGGTAGCAAGTGGGGTACTGGAAAGGGCTCTTGCTCTCGGAAATGGTCTTGTACTGGTTTTTGGTTTTAGACACACTGGCACAGTAGCGATGTAGCCATTGCTTACAACTCCCCTCACAGTAGAGAGCCTCGTCTTTTCCGTGAGCAATTGGCTGGCAGCATGTTTCAGTGGCAGTCGACTTCTTTTTCGGCGGCTTGTTAGAGTCTGTAAAGATGGTTGGCAGTTAGCTATCGATTGTTGTATTGAAGCATTATAGATGCTTCAATGTAAATCTGGTATAGACTCATCCAGTTGTTCTCCAAAAGATGCCTTGAGTAGTGAAAAAACCCAGCAGCTGCAGAAGATGGGGCTGTACAAGGATCGTTTTTGCTGCTGCTGACCAGTTGGGAAGTTTAGAGGCCACCACTTTAGTTGGTCAAAATTTCTGTCAAGATTTGCTACTTCAGCAAGGTAGGCAGGCAGTTCTTCTTTAAGCTGCTTCTTTTTTTGCATAGAATAAAGGCACACAACTAATACACTGATGAACTGAGGCAGCAGGGTTCCTTTCTGAGGACAAAAAGCCAACAATTGCCAAAGGAATCTTCAAGCCAGATGCGTGGTTTGTCCAAAGCTTTGCATAAATTACCCACTATTTGTGGTGTGAATGGATGGGAAGAAGGCTCTCTGATTAACCTTTCAGCAACAGCTCTGACATTTGTTGTTTCTATAGAAACAAAAACATGGTCAACGCCTTCAAAAGCAAATGGACCATGGTCGAGTTCACCTTAGCGGCTATTTGAATAGTAGCTTCGACTTGGTTTGAGGGTCACAATAATAAGTCTAAAGCTTTGTCTGGAGCATAGGGCAGATGGCTTCATTCTCTTCTATGAAAGGTTCCGTGTCACGGAAATATAGCATTACTTGTTTTATGACTTCCTGTTTACTCCACCATCTAGTGGGATTGTACCGGGACATACTTTGGTGTCTCTGAGACTTCCACAACAAGTTTGTCTTGGGGCTATAGAAGAAGAAGCTAATTGTATATATATCCATCTGTAACATGTACAGCAAATTGTCATGTGCAAGTACATAATATGCATCATAGCACCAGGGCATCAGATTCCCAGAATATTGCAGCACCACATAATTAGGCGAGCGGAGCAAGGCCCTAGCGTTTCTTTGGCGTGAATTTCAATAAACAGAGGAATGTAATGCATTTTTGGTGAGGGAAGTGAGCATTTCCAAATAACAGCCGGATGGTCCGTTGTGCAACTGGACAACAGCTATTGACTGAAAATCGCTGTTGGTTAATAATACTGCTGCGTCACTGGGTTCGCTTGTTGCATCGAACAAGTATCCAGCCAAACAAATGCGTAATACAAAGATAGGAAGAGGACACTAATGTGTGCGCCCATTTTACACTTTCCTGTGTGTTTAGCAAGGGTTTGGAAAGTATGTGGGACCAGCCCCCTCCCATGATCATGGTCTCTTTTGTGTTCTGGGATAGGAAACAAACACCAGTCATAGGTGTCCACAGAGATGACACACCTGTAACCGTATACCACATTTCACAGTTCAACAATTTTAGTCTGTACGAGCAGCTTCCAGTAATGAGCAGTCTCTCGATATCGAAAATGTTCAACGAGCTCTAAAGACTATAAAAATTCGTTGTCCCTCACTCGGCACTGTTACACATCAGGTTTTATACCTTCACTCGTTACTTGCAATGTGCGAAAATTGTTTAGCATATTATTATGACTAGTAGTCTTCTGTGGGCAATGCAGGAGATTGCAGCAGGTGGTTCATTTACCATGTTCTCCAACATAGCAGCAAAGTTTGAAGGGAATGTAGCAGTATATAAGGGCTAAATTTAGAAGTGTTACTAAAGATAGACTAAAATAATGGAGGCACAGTGAAGAATGCAATTGATTTCCGTTTAGTATCACTTCTAAATTTAGCTCTTACATACTGCCTCATTCCCTTTAATAGTGGCTAGAACAGTGAGAAAGCAATGTTTTAACGCACTTCTTTAACCGAGGAAGCAACAGCTAGCATAATTATTATTCTATTCCTCTATGCTTGCTTGGCTACCCATTATTAATCAAAGGTTTGCCTATTATTCTGCTATATTCGCATTGATTGTTCTCAAGATCCAAACAGAGAAGTACAGATATAGTCTTCTAGGGATGTTTTCCCTTGTAGAAAATGAGCTTTGTAATACAGAGGAAAAAACCCGCTCAGCAGCAGAAGCATAATATGAGGGTTGAATGAGTAACAAAAGTTTGTAGGCGGCTGTCCAGGCCGGTCATTAATGTTAATGTCAGGAGCATTGCAGCACTGTTTACCGACACTCGGTCGCGAACAGCGTCTATGATGCGTTTTGAAGCAATTCCAAGCTTTGCAGATAATGTCTCGATTACCAGTCTACAGCTACTTCTTCTCCTGCTAGACTTTTTCACTGTCATGAATATATTATTTTGCCAACTGGTGACATGGGTGGTACTAGAGAGAGAATACCCATTCTCTTCAAGTATGTCCCTTACGATTTTTGGATGCAAGATACTGCTGCATAAATATTTACTTCACTATGTTATCAGTATATTATATGTTAATAGGCCATCTTTCTTTTGTTGCAGGAACATTGTAGAACTGCGTGATGTTGTGGTAGGAAAAGATCTGGATAATATGTTTTTGGTGATGCAATATTGTGAGCAAGACATTGCATCTCTAATAGACAACATGAAAGTCCCATTTACAGAGTCTCAAGTAAAATGCATTATGATACAGCTCTTAGATGGACTTGAGTATCTGCATCAGAATTACATCATTCATCGTGATCTCAAAGTGTCTAACTTACTTCTAACTGACAAAGGCTGTCTTAAAATTGCTGACTTTGGACTAGGTCGATGCAGCGGGTATCCATCAAAGCAACTTACCCCTACTGTGGTTTCTCTTTGGTATAGGGCACCCGAGTTGTTGTTTGGGTTATCAACCTACACATCAGCACTTGATATGTGGGCAGCTGGTTGTATTTTTGGAGAGCTGTTAAGCAACAAGCCATTACTTCCTGGAAAATCGGAGCAGCAGATGATAGATCTAATCATTAAACTGTTGGGAACACCTAATGAATCAATATGGCCAGGATACTCATTGCTTCCTATGGCAAAGCAGATTATACTTCAAACGCAGCCTTACAACAATCTCAAACAAAAGTTTCATTGGCTCTCTGATGCAGGAAGTTTACTCTTGAATGATCTTCTTACTTATGATCCTGAAAAAAGAAGTACAGGCAGAAAGTCAAGAAAGAGTTTGTATTTCAGGGAGAAGCCTCTACCAATAGAGCCAGCAATGATGCCTACCTACCCACATTTAAGAAACACCACCCCACAAGTTCACAGAAAACTACCAGCAGAAAAGCAACCAATGGGCAAAATCAAAGTTTAAAGTTTAGAATACTGAATCTTCATTTTATCTGCGTTTAGTACTTTGGCATAACTTAAAAACAACAAACAAATAATTGCTGGTGGAACACAAAACTAATTGTCCACTGTTCTAGTTTCTCTTTTCGATGAACTGTATGAAAGAGAATAATCGTACTATGCAACTTAAAGATTCACCACTCACTTTCCTTTTGATGAAGTGCCAAGAATCCTTGCCCTGCATAAAAATAGGTTTTAAACCCCACTGCACTCTTGTAGTAGGTGGATAATTAACCATCGTGGTGCATGCGCAGCGAGGGTTATAGTACTTGGTTTGTCTGTCCGTCTGTTACCACGTTTTCTGCCACCACGCGCAACAAACAGGTAAAAGAGCGACATCAACGAGTTCAGCGCTACACTGGCTTTATTTTCAAAATGGCGATTTCGTAAAATTCAGAAGTTATGGCGTGAAAATCAAGTGAACAAGCCAATATGCAAATTAGCACAGGCTTATATACCTAGACCGGGACCGCTTTCTCTGCGCATCTTGAAGGCACAAGAATGTTCCGCAGAAACACCCGCAGTAGGCGTGGTATTATACCGTGGTAACGGATTGCGTCATCATTTTCGGACCATATTTGGGCACGGTTGTGCACATGAGACAATTATAGTAATGCACAGGTATTGCCACTCCATTGTGTGTAGTCTAAGACTTCCATGTTTGCTCCAATAACCAGTTTTGCAATGCTGGTGTTCTACAGAAATTGTCGTAACACTCTTAGAACAAACTCGTGTGTGTAAAATTGGCAACCATTATTATAGTTCTTGTGTGGGAGGCAAGTAATGTCGTTTGAGGTATGTACGTAGCCATCATCCACTGTACTACTGCATCATAGTCTCAGTCATCCTTGTCTAGTCTCCTTGGTTCTTATATCACCTTTATATTATTATTTTTTATTAGCATTTTCCCAAGATAAGAGAAGAATATAGGGTATAAACTGCTCGAAACTCAGATCATTCATAAATGCATTGCATGCTGAAAAGCTGAGCAAGAATGCATTTACAACAACATGCATAAAGTTGGCTTTTGGGGTGACACACACTTGATTGTCTCTTATATACAGACACTACACTTTACATGTAGGTAAGAGAATTGAACGTCATGCATCACGGTGCATACACCTTGCAGTCGCATATTCTGCTTCCCTCTGTGCTAATGATTTATACTCAGCTTCAACTGATGATTTTTCAGTAGATGTAGTGTCACCCGCTGGTCTCTTCAGAATTTTCACCTGTACAAGAGAGTCTTGAGTACAACTAATGCAAGAGCTATAAACAGAAAAAGTTGGCAGGGCCAGCAGCTGAAAGCACCTCTAAGAGGCAGACACCAGTCTAGCGTTAAAAAAATCAGTGATTGGCCACACAAAAAGGGCTAGTTCTACTAGTAGGTAGAAAACCAGAATGGCGAGTGAGGGCCAATAGTGAAATTTTAGAATGATGCTGAATTTTTCGCGAACATTAAGGTATTTGCAGTGCCCGTCTAAAGAAAAATCTTGGATTCAGATAATTAGGTAGGCTTGCTCCGCTCGCCAGTTTGGGGACAATACACTCTATTCTTGCCCCTCACGGAGCTCCCTTGTACAAAATCTAACCACTACTAATTGTACTGGTTCTCATGTCAGCATGATCATAACCGGTTGGATTCTTGTGTTACTGATGACACACACGGACCTCGATCCAATTACGCTAGTTAAAGATGACAGATCCCTGCTTCATACATATAGAAACACTAGATGCTCATGCTATGTTTGGTATTTTGTAGACTCCTATAATTAACTTACAGGTGGAACATACTGTGTCCCTTTCCACTCTGAAACCCGTAGTGGAGGCTGCTGAATAACACTCCCGGCAGCCTGGGACGACGAATCACTACTAACACACCTTGATTCAGAGTGTCTAAGAATTGAAAGAGAGCATAAGGTTAAAATGTTGGCGAAATTGGTACCTCTGTCGTAATTCCATACGTTTCTCTAAGTCCTGTGAAACAAAGACAAAGTATGGGCAATAAACGTAGACCTTTATTCATAATTATACGGAGTAAAATGACTGATTTTCAATACCTCCGTGTCGGCATCTTCCCAGCTATCTGCTACATCACTTCCCTCCATCAGTGATTAGCATTCAGCTACTGGTATATATTAGGCCGAGAAGAAGGTTCAGTGATCGATGGAGGCTAACCTTTGAACTAAACGTCCTGTCCCGCCCACTTCTTCCGTTGTGCGCATGCGCGCGCCATGCACGCTCAGAGCCAACTCCCATCATCTCCGGTTATGTACACGTCTTCGTGTGAATGGAGCCCTGGTCTCTGATCCATCACAACTCCTACAGGCATGGACCCAGCACTTCCAGAGTCTTACCAAATCACAAGAAGAGAATAATCCTTCACTAAAAGAATCAATCAAACAGTCATCAACTCTGCTCTCCGCAACCTTCCAGAACGGAGAGGTCTTTCTGGACGTTCCTTTCAATACCGAGGAGGTAGAGCACACTGTGAACAAGATGAAACTGAAGAAATCTTCTGGACCGGACAATCTCACTGCAGAACACCTGAAATTCGGGGGTCAAACCATCATCACGTGGCCAACAGAGATCTTGAACTCCATCGATGTAGAGCGGATCCCGTCATGCCTCAAACTAGGAATTACTATCCCTGTGTACAAGGGCGGAGGCAAGGACCCCTCAATGCAAACAGGTATCACCCTCAATTCAGTCATATCCAAAGTTTTTAGAAACCCTGATCCTCAACAGATTGGAGCCTCTCTTCATGGAGGCTGGCTTGCCACTTGGAAAAAGCTGTCGAGTTCCCCATCCTTCTGAAGAGACTGTTTAGCGCCGGTGTTAACTCAAAAACGTTGTGTATACTACGAAATTGATACATCGACAGTCAAAGTTCTGTACGCCTGGGTCTGCATGTATCCTCTCCCTTTGCTCTGGGTTGAGGGGTGTGACAGGGGTCCATTCTGTCACCAGCGCTATTCTTACTTGTTATGTTAAGACAACTGCAGTCACTCTCCATTGGTGCATCAGTAAACAACATGTATATGGGTGGCTTTCTGCACGCAGATGACATTTGCACGTTAGCCTCTTCTACAACAACACTTGAAGCACAGATCTCTACCATGAAAAAGTTCACCGAAGACAGCTTCCTGAAACTGAACACCTCCAAGTGTGAGATTGTGGCTTTCAAGAAATCGTCTAGCAGAACATCAGTGGAAGCAGGATTTGTCTTCCTCATCTGCAATACAGAATAACATCGAGAGAGCACGAAAGACCTACTTTCAGTTTGGCAGCATCTATGCTTTTCAGGGCAAACTGAGCCCTGTATATATGTTGCTCTATAGTGGAGACATGTGTTCTACCCATTCTTCTCTATGGGGTGGGTTCTGTCACCTGAATCCATTCCAATGCTCGAATGTTTCCAAGGAGAGATCGCAAAAAGAATCCTGAAACTGCCAAAGTGGTACTCCAACACCGCAGCGATCGTAGCACTTGGCTGGAACTCACTCCACTCAGTTTGCACCATCAGAAAACTAAAGTTCCTGCAGAGAGTCATGACAAATGAGGAAAGCATCTGTCATCGAGCTTTCTTAGTATGGTAGATGACGTGGAGGTACTCAGTCTAGTGAGGGAATGCAGGGAACTGGAGGAGAGGTACAAGTTGAATTTTACATCAGACATACTGAGTGCCAATGAGCTCGCAGATGGGCTATGGGCTTAACATCATCAGAAATGCACAAAAGATCATCAACAAGAAAGACCAACTGCTGCTGCTCTCCAAACATCAGTTTGTGCGCAAGATCGCCGAGTGTGTTGGGTGGAAGAAGTTGTGGGATCATGCACTGGATCACGGCCCCTCAGTTATCAAGGGAATGAAGAACCTTGTGAGGGTGATTACCTACCCAGATCATTCACCCAGCAATTAATGACCTCTGTGTGATACAGCTGATCTGGACAAACCAAGCCTGGCCGAACATGTCATCACCAACCACACAAAAAGTGACAACTCCTGATGCACTCTACTAGACCATGGACCCCACCTTCTTCAGTCATGTGTTATGCTTCTTACATGTTTTTTAACTTGTGGTATTCGTCCCTCACTCTGTCTGTATACATGTCATGCCCGGGCGGGCCCATTCAACATGAACTTTGAACTCCGAAAAAAAAATTCAGTGTGTGCAGTGCGGCAATGCTGGTCACAAACATAATATAATATCGACTAGGTATATAGGCTCGCTTCACCTGCAAATAATAACATTATAAGATGGAATTGCAGATATATTAATAGAATGGCAGGTAACTTTCTAAGGATCAGTGATTTGCTTGATGAGCAGTTGCAAAGTTTTGTTCGGTTGGGAGAGGAAGCAGCGATGAAGTGAGACACCTAGGAGATGTGGGTGGCGTGTTTGACAAGAACTCGTATCTTTGGCATAGCTCCTTCACTGAGCATTTCAATTGGCTGCTAGTGTTATGCTGAAGTGGAGAAGAGTCCATATTCTGGGAGAGCAGAGATGTAGCTGGAGTTACAGTAGTTACTGAAGGGGTGGGAAATATTTGGGGTGTTAGTGCTTGTTCGAGGTGAAAAGGTTGAGAGATGCTCATAGGAGATTCTGAAGAAGCAATCGAACCAGGTGGTAGAATAGGAACAAGGGTAGTAGGTGGTGGGATAGGAGAGAGTGAGAGCTGATATCTTGGGGCCATGCTCACTGCAGGCTCACCAGTGAAGTCCTCCTCTGTTTTCACCCCTGATTCTGTATGAGCAGGTATTGGGGTGCCCAGAAAACTTTGGGAAGATGAAATAGGACGTGTCTGTTTTGAATGGTGTTTCATATCCCTGTATGTTCTGGCAGATGCTCTATCAAAGCTGTGTGACTGCCTCTGTGTGGTATACGGTGGATATAAATTGTTGGAATCCGCAACACTATCTAAGTCATCGACAGTTCCCTCTTCCACCTCACTAAAATAATGAGCAGTTGGTTGTAGGGTGGTTCTCAGTTGTGATTTGTTCTTACTACCACTCAAAAAGGAAAGTGGGAATGATCTTGCTGTCTGCACTGACATTTTGTTTGGTGAAAATCCATCGGTGTCTTTGGCCTTTGTTATGTTTGTTTTTTGTTCCTTTCCTGTTTCCCTTGAGTATTTGGCTTGTAATCTGGCTTTTTTGCTGGATCTGAGCATTGAGACTGGAGTTGAACGAGATAAAGTCTTCTCTTCATTTCTCCTTTCTCCACTGTAGAGGGGGTTTTCATAGACTTTTCCTGCATCTACGTCATGGGGATTGATAGCTTCCAATGGTGGAAATTGCTTTTTTGGCCTAGCAAGATCTGTGACTGCTGATTCTCCTTGTATATCAGCAATAATAGCAAGAGGATTGTGTGACCCAGGAATATTCTCAGCTGCAGGATGCTCATGGAGTTCTGATTCTGTTAGATTATTTTCGGATGATGCTCTTCGATGACTATCAAAACCCGTTACTGGTGCGCATCTCTCTCGGACCTGATGTGGAATGACGCTAGTTGATGAGAGCTCGCCAGCAGATGGGATGTATGTTGAATGCTCATTCATTGACTCACCCTCATCTAGCTGAGGCAAGAGGTCCAGCGAACTATGTGTAGTGCGTGTAAGCGCATTAAGACCTGGTCGTCCACTCCACACACGGCCATTTATGCTTCTTATTCTTCCGTGACGACTTGCTGCTTGTGTTTCCTCTTGTGGCTCTCCTCCAGCAGTACGTGCCGTTACTGCATATGGGCAAGACGTAAATAAATGGAATTATCTTACCACATTATATCACTTTACTCACCAAAAATATTCTTGACTGGAGGGTCTACACATGTACAACAGCATGATGAGAAAATCCGCCTTAACACATAGAGGTATGCCATCCGATACTGACCGGCTAGCAAGCCGTACAGGAGAGGATTAAGTGCTAGGCTGATGACAGAGAGTCGAATACCCCAGAAGAGTATAAGAGATTGCCCTTGTGTACCTTTAGCTTGGGCTATTACCATCAAAATCTGAAGGAAAAATGTATGTGATCAAGAATCAAATTTTTTCCTATTGCTTAAATTTGAAACCAATGGACCTCTTTTACATTATTATGTATAAATTATAAATTCACCTGTGATTTTGAGGCATCCGCTACGCTACAAGATATTTTGAGTTGATTAATTGCAGCGATGTGTGTTTGTCTAAGTAGTGACTTAATATGGTATTCATGTCTACATATTTGTTGTAATGTAAGCTTTATGGCTCATTGACATGTACTACAGACACACACATTTGGCAAGCGAAGCAAGCCATCAGAATGCACAATCTTTCCATATGGACGAACTGCCAAACATGCCTTAGAATTTAACTAACTCTAAATAGTTGACACTGAAATGTGTAGTATTCCACGCACGTTTGACCCTAACATTGACTTGGCAAAAAATGTTTTGCATTCTTTATAGTTAACAAATGTAAGAGGTGCTTCAATAATGAGTCTGGGGCTCATTAACCAACTACAATGAAGGAATGGATGAAACATCTGGTGACTGAAACATCATAATACAGGATGAAGCTTTGGCTGGTTGAACTAGGGACCGGAAGAATTTTTCCATGTTCTCTTGGGAAATGGTGTTATTATGAGAATTGGGTAGGCGTGTAGGAGCGAATGTTCTAAGTCCACAAGTATGCTAAACATGGCTGTGCTGGACCGTGGGCAGCATGGTACATACACTCCTCCATTTCGTACCATGCCTTATAAAGATACAAATGTTTGCACAAACACTCTTAATTAAACCTAAACAGCATGTAACATGAGTTTGGTATGGTTAAATTGTGACTTTGGGACTCCCCTTACCCCTCCCTTGCTGCATCTGACAGGAAAGCTCCTTGACTGTCTGGGTCCTAGGCATTTCAAACATACGGAAGCGTGTGTGAGGCCAAGTGTAATCCAATATTCAAGGTTTGGGAGATATTCTAAGATAAGTACAAGAATGCAATGACCACTTTAGTAACCTTAGTGAATTTGTTTAACATGAAGTGCACATTCAAGTCCAGACACACAGTACGAGAGAGCACAGTGGTAAGTGGTTTCACGAGTTGTGAGTACATCCAAGCACACCTAGTAGGTCTTTCCACTGGCCTACGTACATTATAGCACACTGAGTTTGTAGAGCATGTGGTTTGCGGGCAACTTTTAGTTACGCCATTAGACTTTAAGCCATAGAGAAGACCTCACACTACTTTGATGTTTTAAGCATTCTGTTAGCCATGTTGACTGTTTAGCTAACATGAAAATGAATCAGATCTCCCCCTATTTCCTGTGCTCAATTACCAGTGAGCACACATAAGGATGCCACGGATATCACAAACTCCTCTAGGTATAGTTACAGGCAGAGTGGAGGCCACTGCACAGGGTTACTATAAAAAAAGGTATACAACTTTGTGTGGGTCCATGAAAAAAGGAGGTATCCCGATAAACTGATTTGTCCCTCTGTGGGTTGACTCCTACGAGAAGTGATGGGGTTTTATACAAACAAAGATACAGACAGAGGTAAAAATGCATGAGGTCATTCTTCAATTTGTGCTGTTGTAGTTAATTCTATGGAGCTACACTCTATTCCCAGGGGAAGAGATGTTTACTCTACTTCAGCCATCTCCAGGTTGCCATAATGCACTATGTACTCTAAAGTATGTATGAGGAGACTTCAAAGTACATGCATGTGGACACGTCTGTATCATGTAACAGTATACGGCATACATGTGGGTGCATCATTACTGCGTGAAATGTGCAGGCACTTCAAGAACAATTATGCTGTTTTATTTCTACTATATACAGGCTAGTGTGTTCCCAAAGTTGCAAGGGTGGACCATGTTGGACATCCCTGTTTATATCAGAGAATGCAAAATAGATGCTCTATTTGCGAATGCAGAGTTCATGTCTATGAATAATTACAAACAGCTTTGCTCATTTGTTAACCCACCCACAATACTGGCGATGCACTTAAATTCTATTAGGAATTATGTCTGTGAGTTATGATGCACAGATTAGAAAACATGCACTACATTTGTATATTATACGGAAAATGTGAGGGAACCAGTATGCTCCTACAGTATTATGTCATGTGTTATGCATAATATATACTCACAACCAAAGTTGTCCAGCTGACATAGAACAGTGCCACAACTGCAAACAACATGCCTGCAAACTGAGCCTCGATGCCAAGCTGAAGTCTCTCCGTTAGAATAGGAGCTGCCTTCTTTAGTGTGATTCCAATGTCACTTATTCTGCATCATTCGAAATGTTGAATGAAATACATGAACAATGCAAAAACATCAAACTATACCTTGATGAGAGCTTGGGTCTGGTGAAGCCTTCATGCTCTCTTTCTCTGGCCTGAGACCGCTGATTGTATGTCCCCTGAACTTGCAACTGTTTACGGCGCCGATACACACGAAGCAACTTTGCAGTAACAAGAACAAAGCACACCAGTACTATGCAATACTGAATTCCAGCATAAACCAGTATTGATATTGCATAATTTGAAGAGAAATCAAACAGGCAGAAACCATCATGAGAGAGTATTGATGTATGGCTACCAACAACTGGTGTGATGGCCAGCGCAAATGCCATGACCCAGCAGGTTAGAAGTACCAAGGCACACTTGCTTGGAGTCGCATGCTTACGGTAGATAAACGGTCGATTTACTGCGAAGTATCTCTCCAAGGATATGAGGGTGACGATAAGCACTGATGAGTACCTTGTGAATTGCGCCACTGTTCCGTAGAATTTGCAGGCAAAGCTTCCTTCGTCAAATTGCTCGAGAGTGATGTACGAGTAAAGGGACATGGGGACGGGAATGAACGTCGCGATGAGGTCGGTGCAGGCGAGTCCTATCACAAGTACATCGGGCAACTTGCGCTGTCGAAAGCTGCTTACGATGGCTACAGTGCACAAGTTTCCCAGGAGCGAACAGGCAGAAATCAGGATCAATGACACCGTCTTAGGTAAATCTATTGAGGTATTCGTGGAGTTCTCCATCGGCGGTGTTGCATTGTATGTCCAATCTCCCATGACGGAACGAAATCTAATTTGCACAAGCGGTTCAACGAGGCGTGAAACCGTTTCACTCTTTGGAATTGCCGAACAGTTGCTGCTTTGCTTCTCTGCTGTATAGATATGATATCCCAGATTTGGACGGAATTACGGTAGAAGCAGAGTCTCTCTAGACAATAATATTGGGGTTTAGAGCTGCCTAGATTTTGTATGCACCTAACGAACGAACCACGCCCCTAACTTTTGTTGCTGCTCTCGGCGCGAATGCGCAATACGCTACCTGGATCCTAGCATGGATAATAGACGTGTATGCGATGACTTTTGGGACTTAGCCCGATACGTGTGCGCATGCGCAAACGGCGGGGCTTTGCCTTTCTCTGACTAGTTTCTCCAAAGATGTGAGAATAAAGACTAATACGCCTGCTTGTAGACATGTCTAGGTAGTTATCTTTTGCTCAATGCTCTATGCGTAGCCGAGTGCGTACATAACTGTGTTAGCGAGTTTAATGGGCGTGGCAATATTATAATAGCTAACTAAACTTTATACACAAAACAAAAGAAAGCCAGACTTACTGCAAGTCGTGTATACGCATGCGTACCAAGTTTTCATTTTCAATATTCTCTGCTCTGTTAGATGTACAAGTCCTATCCTCTAGCTTTATCATCTACCTCATAAGCTCAGTACTGTGGTGGTAGCAGGTTGAAGGCCCACTGGTTGTCTACAGCTAAAGTTCCAGATTGTGTTGTGATACTTGAACAGCTTTAGTGATCCCAGTCTTAGTAGTTTCAGCACAATAGGAGCCATGATGGGGATCACAGCTGAACTCCTATTAGTCTGTCATATATAGCAAAAGAAAGGTAAGACGCATGCATGGTTGAGCCGGTTATTTGTTGTTTCACAAGTAACCCCAGTATGATTGTCTCTAATGAGATATTTAGGGACTGCCAAGAACGGGGTCAAGTGATCAAGGAATTTCTGCACCTCTTCATGCCGCCTGGATTACTGGAGAGGAAGGAGAAGACTTGGGGTGATAGAGGGGAGGAGGGATTTGAAACGCTCTATATAGAATGTCTGCGGTGAATGCGTGTCACGGTCACCAGTGTTATAAAGCATGTGAAGTCCGTTATCTGCTCTGTTATTACAGATGCAAGCTTGGTCAGCTGCGAAAGGAACAGGTTTCCTACAAGCAACTGAAGAAAAATGTGTGCAGTCTATTGAGCAAAAAGTTAGAAAATTGCCCTCCTGTCTACTGGCAATTCCTGAAAGGGCACACTAGTAGCAAAAAACTGTGAGAGTGACAAATATTCGATGACTAACTGAAGTAGCTAGACATGTACAGACCAGTGCCTCCAAGTATACGAATTTCCCGTATTTTTTACGGAAATAACACTCCATATACGGGTAAAAATCGAAATAATACGGAAGACAAGAGTGCTCAAGAAGGTGTGGCAAGTATTACGACAAACGGGCAGGTACAGGTTAGTACGGGTAAAGCCACGCAAAATACGGGGAAAATAATTTGCCGCTGGATACGGATGACGTTAGAGTTAACTTGGAGGCTATGACAGACACCACGGAAGCGTGACTTTCTACTGGAGATAAAATGCTGTATATACACTTTGACTGAAAACGCAGCCAAATATCGCCCAATGCACACCTAAGGCACCAATAAGGAAAAGCCATGTCACTTCTAAATTCACAAATGGACTGGTATACCCTGCTAGATCTCTAGTACAGGTCACTTTTACCAGCTGATCAGGGTATTCTTATGTAAACCAAGTGGGTGTTTGTTGTAAATTGCATTCCTTATGGCATTCTAAATAAAGCGCACAACTTCGGGGTGAGTCACTTAGGGCCACTCATTATGTCTGTGCTGACCCTGACTCAGTTGAAACACTATAATATAGTGGTAAAATTCCAGGCATTCTGAGTGTAACTGTAACATTTTCTAGATGCCCTCCAGAGCACCAGAGAGTGTAAACAAAACGCAAGTGTATATCAACATGAAATTTCACATAATTCTTTACCCCTTCTGAAATGTGCATGCTGCTCTCATGCTTTTACACACAACTTTTAATGCCTAACGGGAGTGTGTGGGCAATTATTTGTTCCTCTGTTGCTATATTATTATAGCTGCACATGTACCTGTGCAGGGTATGTGCTCCATGTTAATGCCAGCTCCATTTTCCCATCTGGATAATGCAAGCATCTCAGTAATTTAGCAACACTTTTTGCTATAATCCCTTAATAAGATATGTCTGTATACATATCCCTCATTATAAATTGAGTAGTGTAATCATCAGAACCAATGTGTGTATAATTATACAATTTCTTTCAGAGAAGACTTCAAAGACCCATCCACTTGATCCATATCAATCTCAATATTTACATCTTCATTGCACGCTTTGTGTCCACAGCTCTGTTAACATATCTATGACTCTATTTACAAACAAGCTATCACGTTGTGACAGTATACATACAAGTTCTTCTTGTACCTATGGGCAATCAACATCAGTCATATCAGCCCTATTACCCATACGATATGCACGTGTAGTCAAGCGCCTCCGTTGAAGAGGGGTTGAATCAAAGGTAGTAGTGTAGGATGTAGGCAACTCTGGAAATGTATGGAAGTCTAGGAAGGTGCCCCACGCTGACAGTGACAATAGTAAAATAACAAATGAATGGTTTCAGGCTCTTTTGCTTTCTCTCTCCAGAGATGAAACTGGTAAAATTATGCCAGTACCCACGCTATATTATTATGTTTTTAACCTCAGGTGTACTTCAGATGTGCCCCACTCTTGACTAGTAACAACAGCAGCATCAGCCCAAAAGATTATACCAGTTTCATACAATACGTGGAACAGTCTTCAATGTTTCAGTTATGTGTGGCTGCGTGCAGTCTCTCATCTCTCAGTCAATAGTGGATTAGTGTCTGATGGCTGGCGGCTCAGTTCGGTATCCTAGCTCATGGCATCAAAACTGTGTTGCAACCTCACCTAAAATAAGAGTAACAGAGCCAGCATCCTATACCATAAAAATAATATTGAGGAACATCTGTTCGCAGAGATTTGTGTATCACGTCCATGCAAGGAGAGCCGCAAATGTTGTCACTAATATATAGAGCTTTAGCAATAATTATAATATTATCACTATGTACGGTAGTACTAAGTATATTATAGGGATGGGCAATGGTACCTAGCATCATAGATGTATGGGGCTAGAGGGAGTTTTGTTCATTATCATCTTCTTCCTCTTCAGATTCAACAGTACCCATAACTCAGTAACGAAACGACATATTGTAATGAAATTTAGTAACAATGTAGCTATCCGTCACCCGAAGAGACTGGTCATACTTATTTGTTTGTACACAACAATATTGACTGTAAACAGCAACAAATAGCCCCAGGCAATACATTATAATGGGATCACGTGTCAGTATAACTCACAAATGGTAAGAGCCATGCAAACGAAACTTTGTATACATAATGTTTTAAATCACCAACACCAAAAACACAACAATGCATGCTTGAAAACAACCACAGGAAATTTTCTTTGAAGTTACTTCTTCACTCCTCCAACTTGCAAACTGTATATACCACTCCTACAGATGAAACTTAGTACCCATGCATATTACTGACGACCACGGTGTTTGAACAACAACAAATAGCTTCAGGCATTTACTTCTCACTCATCAAAGTTACTAACGTACTATATACGCATGGAGATGAATGTGGTATGCATGCGTATAACATCGTTTCCATGATGGCCACATTGTTTGAACAACAACAAATAGCTTCTTCACTCCTCAAAGTTGCAAACAGTAGCACGCATAGATGTGTATTACACCATTTCCATGACAACTACATGTTTCCATGGTGACCACATATTGTTAAAATTACTTCTTCACTCCTGAAACTAATTACCGGTAGCACGCACGGAGATGAAACTTGGTACGCATGCTTATTACACAGTTTCCATCATGACCACCTGTTGCAACAGGCATACATTTTTATACGGGCTTACCCTTTCACACAGAGATACGTAGTAGTATATAGATATGAGTGGAGACAAGTAAATTAAAAATCCTGTGAATTTAAAAAAGAGGCATAATATAGGGATGGTATATATGGAAAGGGAGACAAGATAGGGATGGAATATATAAAGCATGGTGATTTTGAGCATGCTGACACCCCCGATCCAATCACATAATCCTTATATTGTTGCCTAGGTGAAATTTTAAACATTCAACATGTCATGCTGAGTATATAACCAAGAGTCCAAATAGAGTTTACCAGTGGCACACAAGGCAGCAACAATAGGGATCGTGTGATGGGATCGGGGTGTCAGCATTCTCAAAACCACCATGCTTTATGTATCCCATCCCCATCTTGTCTTCCTTAATTTTTTTATAATATATAAAGTGAACACAATAGCTCTAGGCTAAAACATGGTGTACACTAAATTTAACTACGATTCTGATATAACCAATCAATTAATAATGTCTTGAATGAGGAAATTGAGTCAGCTGAGCGTAGGTACTAGAGAGTTTGACCTTTCCTGGTGATAACCATGTATTTACACTTTTGTGGGTTGAACATAATCCGACTGCTATTAGACCAGGCTTGGGTCGTTTTGAATATCAATATAACCCTCATGTTTCTCTATATAGGCTTGTATACTATAATATCATCAGCATAGAGCACACGTTTGCAACCAGTTGATAGCTTTAAGTCTGTTATTCCGTTTATATACATTATGGAGAGTAAAGGTCCCAAGACCTTGAGGAACACTGGAAACTGCATGTACTTCAGAAGATGCAACACCGTCCACCACCACCCTCCCCTCTGTGATCGATCAGTCAGATAACTGCAGATCCACTTGAGTAGGATGGGATATAATCCAGAATTTGTCACCACTAAAAGATGCGGCACCGAATCAAAAGCCTTTTGTAAATCGAGAAAAACAACACAAACTTCGTTTCCTGCCTCCAGATGTTTAAACCTGTCATGAGTCAAAGCCAAGAGGGCAGTTGTTATTGACTTGTTTGATGTGAAGCCCCATTGATTGTCGGATATTATATTTTGTTCCAAAAGATGCTCTGACATTAAAGAGAACATGTGTCTATATGCCTCGTTTTTAAATTTGTCGAATTTGTAAATAGTAGGTGGCACAGTGTCCTAGTACTATGGCAGCCCAAGGTCAAGGTTGGTGTG